TATGGATCTCTTTCATTTTAATCCATCAACTGGGTTTCCTGTTAGTTGAGGTTTTAAGGCAAATAACTAGAGTATCATGTGGTATGTAGCCAGATATGTAGAAAAAACCTAAGTAGGGTAATTGTTAACTAATCTGTAATTATTTCAAGAAGATATATTTTGCTTGGCACAGCTGGATGGACACTCTCAGTGTGTCCTGTCCAATGCAGTTAATCTCACAATTGGGATAAATTAAGGGGGGAAGAAAGTGCTTCAGAATAGAAGAGGGCACATGAGAGAGGAGAAACTGAGGAGAATATTAGTGCTCTGTGGCTCATGCCCTTACTGATGTGCTGCTGATAAACAGGATACTTTCCTGCTGGCTTTCAYAGCTAGAGATTCCTTGAGGTGTGCAAAGAAGGCTGGAATCAAACATTTCAACAGAAATTTCTTAAGAAGCATTTATCCATTTATTCCCTTGCAGTATATTTTAATTTGGTACTGTAACAGGAGTATTTCTTTTATTTAATTCACCCAGTTAAACATAATTTATAATGTTCCAAATCTGACCCACTGAGTCCTATTTTCTGTTTTCCAGATGTTACCTTAATTTAGTCATGTATCAYTGGCTTTTGATTTGGATTAGTTTGATCTTTTTCTCCCTTTTCTGCTTTCCCTGTGAATACCTTTTTTTATGTAGTATTACAGTACGTTAATGATCCAAGTTTTTCTAAAGCTGATCTCACATCTGATGTATTACTGTTAGACTTTTTCTTGTTACTGCTCTTCAATTCTCTTTTTTTTCTGTCATTCATGATTTTGTGCTACTGCTGCTGCTTTCATATTCTTTGAAGAGGATGGCTTTTTGTCTGGTGTTCATTTGTGTGTAAATCCACATACAATCCTCTTCTCTATGTTCATTTCTATGGAGTTACCTTCCTTTAGGTATCTTCTAATGTATCAATACTGACATCTATGCTTGTCACACTATGTAATGTCATTATTGTCATTTATACCAACAGTTGCTTTGAGTTATGGAAAAAGCTACAGAAGTTCAGTACAGAAGATTTAGGTGTTACTATTTGTCTTCTTCMCAGATGCTGCATTTATTTTCTTAAAATAAAAACCTTAACAAGCAGTGCTGAACATTATTTTGGTTAAAGGTTAAGTAGGTATATTTGTCTAGGTGAGCGCTTGAGATTTTGTGAGCCTTGCTTGCTGTGATTTGTAAGAGGCTGGTTGTGTGAGATTCAGCATTTGATTGCTTAAGAATAGCATTTTTAGAGTAAAATGATTTTATCTGGCTTATTCTTGSTATGAAATAAAACTTTATAGTCTTACTTTATATTCTGATTGTCCATTCTACAGTCTGAAAAATCACCTGTGAATGCTCACTCTTCATTGYTACTTGGCTCTTTTTGCATCATCTGTTATAGACAAGTATGTCTTTGAATAGCAATGCAAGCAGATGTTTTTGTGTTCTTTTGGTTTAACTTGCTCATATCCATTGCAGTGTTAAGTCTAATTTAATCTGTACCTGTGATTGAAATAATTACAGTGCATCTTTCTTGTTGTTTTCCTTTGGTGTGAGGGTTGGAAACCATTTATCCTTGAATTTATTTATTTTAGTGAAAATTTATTGGAGGGAATTGRTATCTTGAGATTCTTACCCCAGTACTGCAACAGGCTTGGACTCTGAAGGTGTAAAACACCTTTCTGTGTAGATAAAGCGTTACTGTATAAGTCTGAATTGAATTCCTTACAAAATTAGGCTAAACTAGATTGCTTGCTTCACTGGGGTTTTTTTTGTTCTTGATTTAGTAACTGAGAGGCACCGTGTTGTGTTTATTATAGAAGTGTGTGCGAATGGGCAATTAGCTCAGGGTGTCTGAGACAGCTACATCGTCTGCATGGCTTACTTGTCCTCAGGCTTTGTTTCATTTGCATTGAGAAAGCCCCGAAGAAAGAAAATATCCAGATGATTCTTGGAAATTGTTTTTAGCTTTCTCAGATTCTGGAAGACTTTCAGACTCTGGAAGGTGACTGGTGGGAAGTGAGTCATGAATATGAATCAGCATCTCTCCACCCTTATATCCAAAATGCTGTTGCTAGGATATTCTTCTTTGATGATGTGATAAGAGTAGCAAACACCTTTTTGAAATTCACTCTGTCATCCCTTCTTTAATTACATTCAAATTCAGGCTGCTTGTGTCTCTGTGCAAGACCTTGACATAATTTTATTCTATCTTTGCATTTGCTCTTTGTGTTTTGCAGCCTTTGCTTCTCCTGAGTCTTTCTCTGAGTTTCATTTTTTTGTTTTGCTTCCTTTTTTGGTCTTGGATTGTAATCTACTCTTCTGTGCATGCTATACTAATGCTACTTTGCAACTAGGGATTAGGGTATGCTTTTTACCTTTCTACTGAATGTATATACGCTTGTTTGAAAAACGTTAATTTTTGTTATCTTGTTTTTACTCTCCACAACCACCCTGTTGTTATAGCCCATTGTGAAAATGATCAGTTAAAAACAGAAGTGTTTTTCATTTCACAAGGTGCATTCATAAAGGTTTTCCTAAAATTGGGTTTGAGTAATGATTTTAATTGAAATTTTAATGTTGTTAGCTTATTTTTAAAGTAGCACCAAATGCTAACACAGAGGTTGTTAAGTGACTGRTTGTATTTGAACAGCGAATTTTGGTTAAAAGGGATGATAAAATAAGAAGCATAAGTTATTCAGAGAAATTTAATTTTCTAAAGTTGTTATTTTTTTTTTCTTTTAAGGAATAAGAAGGAGGGGAAAATAAATGGATACTCACTTATTAGCATATGTTCCTCTAGTGAGACATGYCACAGATTAATAGTAAAGAATGAGTTCTTGTAGCTGGAGGAACTTGGAGGAGAWATTTCTTAAGATGTTTTCTCCTTCAGCCCTATGAGAACCTTTCAGCTGAAATATCTTCAGYTTCCAAGTTTGGCTTTTTTCAGCTAGACTGAGGAGGAACATCTGGGGTGTTTTTTGTTTACAGGTATAGCTTGGTTTTGTTTTCTTCAGGTGTGACAGAAGATTTAAAATGCYTCACAGAACTATTATATTTCTGTGAAATGCTTTCAAAGAAATAGTACAGAAATACTTCATCCAAAGTAATGAAACACTATTTTTAATGCATTAAGACAACTAATTAAAACAGACATTTTATGAAAATGACATTAGCTCTCATTTTAAGACAGTTGAATCAAATTCAGAATTAAAAAGATGTTTTATAAGCACTTCGGTGAATCATTTTTTGGGCGATTCTCTGAGACAACTGCTTTGCACGCTCTTGTGGGTTTTAATACTTTACAAAGCATTAGATGGGAGGCTCTTCCCCCYACCACTTGGAAGCTTTTTCAGGTACTGTTGTGAGGCTGTCCATAGACTTGGGAGTATGTAACTCAGAATACRTATCAATTATATTTCCAGCTTTCTTTTAGTTCTCATTTGCTCTTTTGTGTGTTCTCTCAGCTGAACTGGTTTCTGATTATGTAGTGGGAGCTCTGGGTCTTCTTTAGAAGCCCAAGCTCTTCTTGGTTGTTATGGAGCTTATAATAGATGGTAGTAGGTGATTTCATCTGATACGTAGGTAAAAAGCAGAATCCTGCAGAGACCTTCATATGGCTCTCAATTCCAAATTTCTTTCTGAAAAATACACCCCAAGTACTTGAAGCTTTCTTGTTCCACTGAAAGGAATGCTGCTCAAAAAGGCTGTTTTCATGAAATGAGGGTGTGAGAGACAATGCTAGAAACAATGTTTTATGCCTAACTGAAGATGCTCAAAAATCTTTTGGAAAACTGTAATAAAATTGGTAGAATATTCAAGCAAGGAAACCTGGCTGGTGCTGAAAGAGCTGGCCCACCTGCCTTCTGTTTCAGCCATGTGCTCCCACAGATTGCCTTGTGCTGGCATCAGGGGTCATTTCATGCTGGTAAGAAACTAAACTATAAGAATTTTTTTTTTTAAGGAGAAAAAAAAATGAGTGRTAATCTATTGATGTAGCTCCTTGAATGGACTTGCAGGGAAATCATCTGATTTATCAGAGTAGGGTAGGTCTTTTGTCTGTTGAGTATGAAGGAAGAATGGGCCACTGCATCCAACAAACAGGAGGGACATCGGCTCTCCCTATTTTGTTACAGTGRCTGCTTAAGAAATTAGAGCTTTCTTCTCTTACATTAAAAAAGTCYTTTTTCCTATTGTAGCCTGCATTACAACAAATCTCATCTTCTGTTTAGAGATATGTGTTTAGTTTTTTGCTGTTAAGCTCCATAATGGCATCATATAGAAAGATTATTTTAATTTGTCYRTTATTGTTGATAGACTRGGTTTGTTCATAAATATTCCCCTTACACTTCTGCTTTTCTGGATAACATATATTGAATATTAAAAGTTAATGCCTGCTGTTTTTCAGAGCCATTTGCTTTCAGGGATGTAAAAATACCTGTGTTATATTCTTGAATTATGATGAAAAATAACACTTGAAGTTTTCTAGTTTATATAATCAATAGGTATTGATGACTCTTGATTTTTCCTGTAGTTTCATATGTATTTATAGATTTGATCTATATATATGTAGTTTTGAATGCAGAATTTTGAACACCAGGTACAGGGACTTGTACAAAAAGAACTGTTTCTTAATAACCTGGAGTTGTGGGTAGACCGTGTAGTAGAGTGTTATGGTTAATTGAGCTACTAATTATCATTTGGTTGTGTAGGTAGACACTAAAATCACCCTAAGTCTAGAAGAATATTTAGTTCAGGCTTTGTGTATTCAGAGGTTATGTGCGTTGTTCAGAGGCTGGTGAGGCTTTGGGGGCAATATCTGTTTTTTCTACACATCTTACATGTGTTTTATGCAAGATTATTTGTAGTTTGTGTGTGTTTGCTTTGTAGAATATTAGAAAAACTGCCCATAAACAATGAAGAGTTGACTGTTTTACCTAGCCTTGACAACTTCAGTAATTGTGGGKTTTTTGGTTTTGTATTTTAGGAAATAGAATAATGCTAATGAAGCAACCATTTCCCTGARGTTTGAATTTTCAGACTCACTGCCATAATGGGTAAGTCTTCTGTGTAACTTAGATAAAAAATTTACTACRGTTCCTAGGAAACATGTGCTTTGGCTGTTTAACAGTGTAACATCTATATGAAAGGCAGTGTTTAGCAGCTTTGCTAGTCTTGAAAATATTCCTATTTTTTTTCCTTCCTTATAACATAGCACTTTTCCTTCRTTGTGTGATAACTTAAAGTTTTGGAAATTGAGATTCATGGTRTTAGGGTACTGAGCAATATTCCTGTGCTCTAAGAGGCAGTTACAAAGGCTATTACAAAGAACCAAACTCAAAACACAGTGTCTGTGTATAAGAATTTTATCTTACTGCCCTRTGTCATTGCAGTGCAAAGCCACTTCTGTAGAGATGGCATTTATTGTTCTAGTTATGTAGTACATTTGTATAACTTTAAATTGTATGTCAATTTTTCAAGGGTTTTTAATGAGTTTACCATGTTGTTCTGGATGCATGCTGAGTGCAGTATTATTGCTTGTGGCAAGAAATTAATACAAAATCTTAGAAATAAATGTATTTACAGTGTTTTGAGCTACTCAGTGCTTTCCTATCTAAAGGAGCATCCTGTTTCAAGGGCAAATCTTGTCTAACATGGCATCAGGACATCRCAGCTGCAGCAGATTGCTAGGATTTAGGATTTTTTGTGAACTTGAGCTCTAAGTTACATAGCATTCCTGCTCCTAAATTGTCCCCTGGGTTCAGTGCTTCTGTTTATCCTTGTGACTTCTTACTTTAAGCCCTTAAGTCCTCTGTATTTTCAGTCCCAGAAAACTTCTGTCATGTTTTATTTTTGCTTTGTGGATTTTTTTTTCTTGTGGTGGGTTTTTTATTTTGGTTTTCTATAGTGCACCATGGTTTATCAGCAGATATTCAGGCAGTTGAGGTGTTCATGTGGGAGTTYGTGTATGCTTTCCATGGGCATGATCATACCTGTTCAGGACAGAGGAGAWATAGTTCAAAAGAACTTAACTTTTTATTCTTTGTTTTATGGGAGGGAGCAGGAAGTATGATTTTTAGTAAACATCTCATCTATGGRTATTATTTGAAGTAGACAAGGATTTCCCCTGCATCCCTGTTCTCTTATTAATACAGCCTGCGCTTGTGTAAAGTTTAGTCTCTGTTAAGACTTCAGTTTTTTTATTGAAATGTGGTTACTGATTAAACTATTTCCTTAAGCAGTGTTAATGATAAATAAAATAAAAATGTTTGCAATGCGGCAACGATTTTTTTTTTAATTTGACAATTATGTATTGAAGTGTAGTGYGGACTCTTACATTTTAGACTAATGCCTGCCTAATTGTGGAATGAGACAGTAATACACTTCAAATGTAACAGTCTTTTACACTTTTCTGGTCTTTTTCTTTGAGCAGATGAGCAGCAAGCTTTGAATTCAATCATGCAGGATTTGGCTGTGCTTCATAAGGCCAGTCGTCCTGTATTGTCCCAGCAAGAAACAGGAAAACCAAAGTCATCTTCTCCTAAAAAACAGGTAATCTTGAATATCCTCACTAATGTACTGAATGTGGAATGTCCTGCTGTGACTTGTGTAATTATTTCTCTTGCCATACCAGTGAGCATACCAGAAGGAGCTATTATTAAATGTGCTGCCATATTCTTTTTTCATGTTCTTACATTAGCAGCAAAATGAAATGGTGGCATTTCGAGTAGATCATAGTATATGCTTAAATAAATAAATTGAAGATTATAGAGGTATTTACACTGTATGTAAAGTGTTCTCTTTGTTATTATATTGGTACTGTTCTATTTTAAAATACTGAGGAAGAGTCTTACAGGTCAGTTGTCACCTATATCATACCAGAGAATGTCTGTACAGCAGGAGAAATATGCTGAAGCTATTTTACTGCATCTTTAGCCTCAATTTCTTATTCATATGCTGGAAATGAGAGTTCTTCCCAGCAGCATTTTTTTCCTGTAGATACTGAACACAAATGGAAAAGTAGTTGATAAAAATACATAGTTGGTAGGTTTGAACTACTATACGTAAAGATTAGAAGAGGAGAGGGTGTAGACTTCTACCCAAATTTAGTTCACTGTGTGTTTATATGATTTGATCCTTAATTTACAACTGAATAAACTTTAGTTTGTGCTTATCTGAACCTTTTAAAGATAAAAATATTCAGATGTATTTGGCTTTTAAACTGTCAAAACTGAATGGATACATATTTTTCATTCTGTGCTTTCGAAGTTGTGAGAGTTCAGCGTGTGRCAACAGTTGTGCTTTGCTACAGTAATGTAACACATCTGAGCTGTGGCTTTAGACATTGTGGTAACGTGTATRTATCATTCAAAGTAACTTGGATATAATGTATGTTTACAAAGAAGAAATGTTTGTCACATTTCAATTCATTCAATTCAATTCATTCAGTCGTTCAATTGGTGGGTTTTGAACTTATCATTTGAGAATCAGTTCCTTTTGAAGATGCAACATTGTTACTTGGAAAAGCTTTGTGATTGAATGCATTACTGCTTTTGTGCAATAGTTGCTAATACAATTTGATCCTTTAAATAACGATTTTGCAAAGCAATTTTATTTCCATGTAACTGCAAATATATACAGATATGRTTATTGGGAAATTGTATTGCATGACTGCTGGCTTAATTACATATGTGGGTTTCTATGGTATTACTTATGAAACAAGATATGTTTCTTAGGCCTGGAATGTTCAGMTACAAAGTATACATTAAAGCATGTTATTGGTAGTTAAGTCTACCTGCCTATTCAGGATAGGGAATTCTTTGGTAACCAGTTCCACACTGAATATGAAGTCATAAATCTGTTACAATATTAACATATATTGATAGAAAAGAATGTGTTTATTTACAGGAGCATTGTACTTCAGAGTAAGCTTTTGTATTTTGACACTTCAAGTTTTTTTTAACATTTTTTGTATTTTAACTCATTAAACCTCTATCATGCTTCTGCAAATGCAGCTTGTTAAAATACTTGATATGTTAGAAAGGACAGCAAATTAATGTGGAATTTAGTTCTAATGTAGGACTATTGAATGGGAGTTTGTGTCCTTCATTAAAAGAGTTATAACAAAATAATAGTGGTTCCTTTATCTCTTTTCTTGCAGAACGATGTTAGAGTCAAATTTGAACATCGAGGTGAAAAAAGGTAAGGAAACAGTCTTGTCTTTTAATTATTTATAGAATTTTGTTGTGCTCCCATCACAAAGTTTCACATTAATGGTTCAAATTGTTTCAGATCTCTTGGGTTTTTTTGTTTGAATTTAAATTTAATTCCGATATGAACACAATTTAAAGAGACTTAATTGTTTAAAATGTTCTACATATGCATAAATGCATAAATGTCATACTGTAACTATGTCTTGTGTAGTGTCTTCAGATAGAGGCTTGTAGCCTTCAACAATTACTTAGATTGTTAGAATAGGTCTCAAATTTGAATAGACCAGAAAATAAATTTTTGTTATTCATTGTGGACGTAAAAAATGCATGAAAATTTATTGTTACTGTAATATCCAGAGGAAGAGGTTGGATTGAACTTCAGGGGTGTCAGTCTGACAACTGTAAGAGGAAAATTTATTAGACTCAGATTGTTTTTGTTTAATTAGTTAAAATTTATTTTCATTTTGTTTATGAGATGGATGATGCACCTGCTTCAAGTATGCAAACATYTGTTTCTATATAGTCTTCTCTCCGATGGCTGCTCAAAAGCTTTTACAGAATTTGATATATAATTCCATTCAGAACTGATTTGTGTACAATTCATTTTCCCTGTCTGTCTTTTTGAAAGTATTAAATTTCATTCTGCTTATTATTGGGAAATTATTATAGAATAAGATCTTTGAAAATATTTATGGAGAAAGGAAGTAATATCCTGGGCATGGTATTTCTCAATAGAAATAGTAAATTTCTTAAGTATTCAAATAAAACCTCTACTAGTTCTGGGCATCCATTAGTGTGATGTGCAGTAGTTGAGTGTGTATCCATGCTGATTAGTGTGTGCGCCCAGTCCTCACATGGAGCAGTAAAAAAGCAGTATCCGCTAGGTATCAACATTCTTGATCTTCTTCCTGTCACTTCTCTGAGCATCACATGGAAGAGTGCATCAGTAATGGTTGAGTGCGCAAGTAATTTGTAGGAAATAAGTCTTTTCAAAGGCTTTGAGAATGGAGAACTCTTCCTCCTAACAATTTCTTGTGAAGTAAGAGGAAGCATGAATTTAAAACAGAAATGTTTACTTGTTGCCAGTCTGCATAGGTGGTGCATTTTGCAGTTTATYGTATTTCACTTTCACAGAGGACTAAGTTAATAAATTCAATATTAATAGAAGCATAAAGTAAGTGTGTGGAAAGATACCATTCCCAAATTTTTATGATCATGGGCCTAGCTCTGTTATGGACTGTCCCMAGTGACTTCAGCCTGCTTGCCCTGGGCAGCTTAGGCTCACTGCTCAGCATGAGTTATTATACTTCTGTTTGAGCATGTAGCTCTAAAGATCAAGTAAAGAAATTATGCAAGAAAAAGAAAATACGCAATGGGTTTCTCACTGGTATTTAAAAAGGGAAGTGAAAAAGAGAAGTGATTCCAGACTTGCTTTCAGTGGTGAATGTGGCACTGTGTTCCAAGGAGCTTGTGCTGTGATGGGTAGAGCTGCAGGCTTGCTGCCCAAACTACAGTGAGAATCGGTTTTGGGTTTTGGGGGGGTTTGTTTGTTTAGGGTATTTAAAAAAAAAAATTTTAAAGTAATTTTTATTTGGAAGTGGCCTGGCTTCTAGTCTCATTTCTGTGAGAAAAATTGTCCCCCAAGCCACTAACTGAGCTACTGATGAAAATGACAGGTACCCTCTGCTAACTTTTCTACTTCACAGAATTTGAGTGCTCTTTATTTTTTGAATGTGAGTTGAATGTACCTTAATAGCTTAGTCACTACTAAAAGCTCTTGTTTGTTTAATGATGTTGTATCTCAAAAAATACAATGGTTTTCTATAGAAAGACATTAGTTATAGGCAGTTTGGGCTGATTGGTTTGATGGGAACTCGAGTTAAAAGAAAATCTAAGTTGTTGACCTACAACTGCACCATTCTTACAGGAGCACACTTGAAGCACAGTTAGTGATGGACTGGGCAGTTTGAGTGTGTAGTTCATTATGGTAAAGATGGTGGCATTTAGTTACCTTCCTCAGGTAAGATAGTCTTTCAGATTTCCAAAAAATGGGGATTACAGGAGTAATTCCTTTCTGATGCTTCTGCTTGTCAGCCTGTGATACTCATTGTCTTAGCTTTGTAAAGTGGAAAAATGTAGACATTTCTAATAATTTCCCTCTGAAATGKAGGCTTGCAAAGTATTAAGCAAGCCATGTAGAAGCAAGTAAAATAGTCTTAATGAAATCTAATTCTGTATCTGATTTTCCCTTTTAACTTTCCCACTCCTTTCTTTTTTGAAAGTGGRGGACAGGGAAAAAAAAGTACAGCCTCTTACAGTCTTTTTAGTAATAAAGTTAGTTCTGAGATAGTTCTTAAGTCATGTGTTGCCAGATTTTCATAAGTAATGGACAGAAATTCTTTATAACTTAAATTGTGTTTCAGGATCCTGCAATTACCGAGGCCTGTTAAACTTGAAGATCTTGCAGCTAAAGCTAAAGTTGCTTTTGGACAGACTATGGATTTACATTACAGCAATAATGAGGTAATATTCTGGGTCCTCTAAGTTACTAACTTGGACATTTTAAGGCTGAAATTTGCTCTTGTAARTAGTGGGAACCACTTCTGTGACAAAACTTAACTCCTGTGACAAAACCCCAGATTTCTAGTATGTGTGTGTGTGTGTTTTCTCAAATATGTAAGTCTTGTCCAAATTAGGATAGGCAGGAAATGCATGAGATGTTCATGAGTAGTGTTGTATCATAATGATGTCTCCAACTTGTTTAGGAATGGTAAATTGTCTKCCTGACCTGCCACAGTCCTGTTGTGTGACTTTGGGAAAGTCTTTACCTCTTTGAGCTTTGTTATGTTGGTAAATTTGAAATAGCATTTGTCCTTTCTTGTAAATTATTTTCTTTAAGGATTAATCTTGTTAGGTAATTGCTAGAATTCTGCATTTAGTTAACGTTTAGACTGGAAACTAGGCTTTACTGTTGCTCATCTTTAAAGTGGCTGATTCCCAAAGATTTTTTGGTAACATGGCCAGCACTGTCAAGCCATTTATGCCTGATCAATATTACTTCTAGCTTTCCTTTAGAAGTAGGATGGAATTATTAATAGCAAACGTATTTACTGATGCAGGATCCATTCTTAGGGGTTACATCTGGCTTTTGCCTTGAGTTAGCGAAATGGATGCACAATGTAACTGCTGTGTCTACTCTGCATCTTTGCAGAAGAAAATGTCAGTAATTGCTGTTTGTTGGTTGCTCACTACATTACCAGGCACTTCTGTGAAACTAATCCTCAAAATGAAGAATTCCAACAGAAGGCTTTTGTTGATTAGGAAAGTCAGAAGAAATGCCTTCCAAAATGTTTTAGCCTCAGCTCCTTCCAGTGGTAGATTTTTAGATATTTGAGAGGTTTCTGCCTCTTACTTTCTGCCCATTAGTTAGCAAGTCATCCCATCACCTCCCAGCGATGGGATGGTAATAACGTGTCACTGGCATTAAAACTGCAACTTAACAAATAAGAGTACTCTCATTTTATCAAGATCTTCCTCCTCAGTCCCATCTCTTTTTGTATGAWAATACTGTATTTTGACTGGTATTGTATTTAAGCATCATTTACTGAGGCCGTTTACAAGTAGAATAGATTTAAAAATCTGTACAGCTTTTGTTACAAGCAAAAGCTGTAATTTACACTCCTGAAACACAAGCCTGATTTTAATTGTTACGGACTTCAGATCTCAACTGCATGTTTATGTCATCGTTTTCTGTTCTAAAAATATATGTATGCCAAATTAATTCTAACTGATTAGATCCAAGTAAAATTCTGATGAGGACTAGAGTTGTTTCACATGGATCRTATCTTCCTTAACAAATTCTGTTTCTCAATTAAAAAATTCTGTTAGTGATGCAACTTTGAACAGGTATACTTGGAATATTTGAGATGCAAAAATCTGCTTTATACTCTATAAAATAGGACTTTTATTTCTTACAGAATTATGTTGATTTAGGCATTGACCCCGTTGCACCTGTTTTGCTGAAACTTTTGGCTATTAAGTTCTTCATGTGCAAAATGGTTGCTTCTTGAGAAGGCTTGGTCCACAATKCTGTGTTTAGTAAAGGCATCTGAAGGAAGAGTTAAGGTTGAACTCCAGACTTTTTAATACTTACTTAAAGGATCATTTAATGAGGTTTATTTTCGAGTTGTTTGGTATGAAAAGAAAGATTCTGTTTGTTTCTATGCACTTGACTTCCTCATTTCTGTCTTGTGTCCTGTTTAAGACTTTTTTCCCCCTGCCCTTGTTTTGTAGCTTGTAATTCCATTAACCACACAGGATGACCTGGACAAAGCTGTTGAACTACTTGACCGTAGTGTACATATGAAGAGTCTCAAGATACTCCTTGTAATACATGGAAATACACAGGTATGACTTGATATGCTAATTTTCCTGAGTTTCCATAATGAAGTATAATTTGTATCTTTTCCTAAAGATGGCATTTTTCAATTGAATATAATACTGATTGCTTCTTCATTTCACTTTAGGCATCTATTAGCATTTTGTACTGACTCAATTTTAACTYTTTCCTAAATCCTGTTCCTGTCTGTCTTCCCTACAATTGTAGAAAAGTAGGCCTTAGAATAATGATTGAAAAAAAAGCATAGAGAATTTAAGTAATGGCAGTTATTTGAAAGTGTTCTTTAAGTYATATGTTGGTGACACTTCTTTGTGGGAAGTTAAATGCTTGTTGTAGCAAAGAGTAGTGGCCTATAGACTAAATGCTGAGATATTTTGGTATTATTTGTATTAACAAATTTGTATGATTTGTAYGATATTTTATGATTTGTATTAACAAATCATAGCACTGATGTTCATAGGATTTGTATACTGGTGCATATTGAAAACTAATTTTAAAGAGTTACTAAATTTTAAATTAAATAAGAGTTACTAATTTTAAATGATCTACTTTAATAGATGAACTGTGATGTAAATTAATAAGCTGCTTTTTTGACTATTTGAAAAATGGAATGTACTGCCTATGAAGTTTATGAAGTATTTTCATTGTCAGGAATGTAAAGTAATAACTGCAGGTTGTAATGTTTCTGCATTTTCAGTCACCCAGTGTAAATAACACAGAACCCTTGCCCTCACTGGAAGATTTAGATAATACAGTGTTTGGTGTGACAGACAGAAAAAGGCGACTGTCTGTAATAGGTAAGCTTCACATTTCAATAGCTTTAAATGTAAAAATTTCTTTTGTAGTATTCTCTTCATGAGAATTTTGCTCTCAACACAGACTGTGTAAATTTCTTCTCATCGATGACCCTATTATAGAGTTTGCACTTGGGGGAATGGATTTTGAATATTAAGACAAAAGTATTTTAAATATATATAATACAGAAAATTAACAAAAAACCCTACAAGTAGGGTAACCTAAAAAAGTGATGTTAGTACTCCCCTTTATTTTCAGATACAGGAATAAGCTACTGAAACATCTGCTTATRTATGTAGGACACAGTGTAGGACCCCCATATTTATTTGATGTGTCAGCATTTAAKATACTTTTTCGGGATTGATATAACCTTTTTGCTTATTCATGTTTTGAAGTTGGTGTGATGTTAACTTCCAAATTTAATTATGAAACTAGRGAGCTTAATGAATAATTTTCCATACAATTTAATTAACTTATTATGCATTTATTATGAATATATGTATTTATATTCTTACATACTTAATATTCGACAAAAGAAAACTTAAATTCTCAAGAGCTGGAAAGGATTAATTGACATGAATGGAAGGGTTTGGATTTTGATTTCGTTCAAAAGGAGTTTATCCAGCTAGATGTGTGGGCAAACTCTATTTCTGTTCCTGTATAATGAAAATTCTCTTTAATGCGGTTGAGGCAACTCGGGCCCAAATTTTTCATAATTTCTGGATTGAAGATTTTGAATGCTATACTTAAGTCTTGTATTACACAGGCATTTAAGGAATTCCTAAAGCAAGAAATGACGCAGGCAGTCTCAGTGCCTGTGAACATATGAATAAAGCCATTGAATTCTGGGTTTGTGGAGAGACTGTGACTGGCCCTTTTCTTTCAAAAGGTTCGAATACTCGTGATCGGAGTTCACCTCCTCCAGGATACATTCCAGATGAGCTGCATCAGGTGGCTCGAAATGGGTCCTTCACCAGTATCAACAGTGAGGGTGAATTCATTCCAGAAAGCATGGATCAGGTATGTCCGTGATTATTGAACTGAAAGCTTTTGTTGATTTATGAAATCCTGCTGTTCAAGAAGGATATGGAATTATTAGAAAGAACAGCAAAAAAATTGATGATGACGCTAGGAAACTTGATTAATGACATAAGGTTGAAATAATTGTGGTGTTTACTTTTGCAGAACCTGGGGTTTTTTTTCTGTCTCTTCAATTTTTTAAATATGCTGTTAAAAGGAGAAAGATAATATTCTTAATTCCCACGATAGTTGAGTGAGATAGTGATAGATAGAAATAACAGAAGAGATGTCTATATTAGAAAGCATAAACCCCTTTATTTTAATGAGAATGTCTAAGCAAGATGAGCTTTACAACTTTGCCAGGTAATTAATGGAGATTTTAAGAAAAAGTTTGGATCTGTCAGAATTAYTTGGATTAAGATGATACTTAGGAGTTGGACTTGACAATCCTTGTGGGTCCCTCATAACTCAGACTATTCTGTAATTCTGTGTAATACTTTGTTGGGGTAGCGGCAAGGGGATGGTGGTAGGCTGGCATAAATAAGCTCTTAAAGACTTTCCCAAATGACWTTTTTTTTGTGTGAAGATCACAAATGTATGTTGTTTTGTTCTTCTACTGGCCTGCATTATTAGTGTAGGATATCAGCACACTTAACAAGAACAAAATACCTGCTCTCTAAATCCTTTTAAAACAGCAGAAAAAGAAGAAAAGAAGCAGGAATATAACTGCTCACAGAATTGGCAGTGGAGAAAGAGATGTTTTAAGGAGGAAAGAAAAATAATGCTGCATACCCAAATCACTGCAAGTTGTTGTTGTCATTGGCAGTGTATTTACAAATGGCAAGAGGCATTGGTTTTTATGAGCTGACTAAATGAGAGACAGATGATAAAGTAAAAATAAAGGCAAAGGGATAGTGCAATTTGTTGCACAATTTTAATGGCTGAACTGAGAATAGAGACTGAATCTCCTACCTTCCAGACCAGGGCTATTCATTATCATAGCCATGTGATCAGATCCAGCCCAAGTCTGGGTTCATTCCAGTGAACTTATATTTGGCCTGGGCRAAGAAATTTCTGGTCACTGACTGGTCAGACAGATAGATGTTCCCTGAAGCCTGGGGATGTCCATTCACTCCTAAGTATTCCAGAAATATATAACCTGTTGTGTGTTCATTGCAATGTGGGCTGTCAGCAGGTTTAAATTAATGAATTTTACTTTCATAGGAAGCCAGGTTAGTTCAACCTAAGCAGCCTCAAGGGCCAATTTGGGATGGTGGAAACTCACAAATTCTGTTTGCTCCCTCCCCCCTACATTGCTGCATCACCTTGGCAAGTGCTGGACGTGCTGCATTTATCTGTCACAGCCTGCCCAGCAAAGACAAGAAGGGAATTTGGGAGTAGAGGGTTTTGCTGTGCTCTGCCATTGATCTGCCTGAGCACAGTTATTTGCACTCCGACAGCAGACCCCACACTTTTCTAAGAGATGAAGAGTTGGGTAAAACCCATAGGCGGCCAGTTGGGCCATACTGCATTAGGTTAGAGAGATAATCAATATGGCAGTAGATGGGCCTTTTTTCCTTATTTGGACATGCTGTTTAGCATGAGACAAGAGAAATACAAATAGTGAACTTGTGGTAAATGTTGTCCTCCCCAATACAGAGTTCATTTAAGTGTTTGAGCTTGCTGAGTGCAAGCTCATTTTCTGGACACTGTTTCTTTAGTGAGAACTTGATTGGTGAATGGCAAAGTATGTGCCCAGGACCTTTAAGATGTAGCACAGAGCATAARGATTGGAGTGGTTACTGTGTGTTTTGCAGCAAAAGATAGGTGTCTAATTCATAGAAAATAATAGATGTTATGTAATACACCAAAACAAACTTCATTTTAGGAAGGAGCTCATTTTAAGGTCATTAAAGATGAACTTTCCACTCCGTTTTTACCCATTCTTATCTATTAGGATTTGTTTCTTATTACGTGTTTAATAGCAAAACCCTTAAACTATTTAGGTAAAAAAATTGAAARAAAGCCCCTTCAACTTGTTCTTCCTTCAACTTGGTCTTCCTCTGTTTGTTGTTTATTAGATGCTGGATCCATTGTCTTTGAGCAGTCCTGAAAACTCTGGCTCGGGAAGCTGCCCCTCACTTGACAGCCCATTAGATGGGTAAAAATTATTTACATTCATTATTTCATTATTTATCTTTATTASATTGCATAATGTCTCAGTTGTAAAATACAACTACTCTGCAGTGACAGTACTTCTTCCAGAAATTTCTTTGTAAGTTATAGAATGTTTATAAAAGCTTATTGAAAGATATTTGCTTACTAGTACATGGAAACTACAGTAGCTTTCTTTTTTAAAAAAATAATTTGTATTTAAATCACAAAAATYTAGACTTGAGGTCCTAAAGAAATGTACAGAAGGCTTTTAGTAAATGTTTCTAGGTCTTGTATATGTGTGGTGTATATTCCCTGGCAGTGAATATTCCAACTCCATGAAATTTACGGTTCTTAGGCGCTGCCATATAAAGTAGGCTTTCCTTTGCCAAAGCAGGGGGTACCCAATTCAAGGAGGAGGGTAGAATCATTCAAAGGCTTCAACAGGCAGTCCCATCCTTTTCTTTGCGATTACTGTCTGTTCCTCTCCCCTTGTTCCTGTTCCAAACTTTCATCTTATTTTTCTTTGTTAAAGCCCACCAGTCAGCAAGAGGCAGTATGTGCTGTGGGGGGTCTTTTTGGATTGATCTCTGAGGAGACTCCTGTGTTTTGAGGGGGTCACTGTCCAGCAGCCAAGCCAAGCAGAACATATTCCTGTTTGGTTTGTGGTGGTCAGGCAAATAACCATGGGTTTAATGAGCAGATTTGCTCTTTGTTTATTTCAAACTGCAAAATGGATAACACTGCTGATTAAATACTTTATTTACTTGGTAGAAAGGTAAAGAGTTGTAGGTCACTGCYAGTGGCAATTAATCAGAGCTGTATTTTTCAGTAGTACCATTTCATTTGAGAACATGTGGTTTGAGGACACAAATAGATTTGGTCTAACAAATACAGATTTSAGTTGAATAGTAAGCATTTCACAAGCAAGAAGATAAACAGACATTAAAAGTGTTTCGCGGTCATAGTATGGTAGATTTACACACACAAGAGTGTTTGATGTAGTTCCACAGAAAATAAATTTTAACAAATTACCAAATTTAGGTTTTTTATGGGTTAGGGGTGAGTGGAAGAAGGGGAAACAAAGCAAATTTAATGCAACTCATATTTCTTCTTCATAACTTCTTTTGGTTGTTTTTATTTACTTAATTTGTTACCTCTACTTAGTTTGTTTTCCTTTTTTTTTTTCTTCTATTTAAATATTTCCTACAAAAATGTAGGTTTTGTGTCTCCATTTAGCTTCTGTTACCCATTAGAGAAATTGTTACCAGAAAAAGGAGGACACTGTTTTGGTATGTTTATGGAAATAAACTGTAATCGATTGCTCTGACTGGCAATCCCATCCATTGCTTTTGGTGGCTGGGAGTTACATACCAACTGTAGGTAAGAAATGATGTGATCATGTAAGAGCCAAAAAATTCTTCATCATTCTATAACTCAATAAAAATCACTTTCTTAATCCTATGACTTTCATGGGGAGAAGARGAAATATATTTCCTCATTAAAAGGTTCTACATTTCTTCAGTTAAATTTCCTCAAGAGTTTTTGTAGGCCGTATAACAGATTTTGCCAGTCTGTAAACCTTTGTTTAGCCATAAAGGTGTTAAACATGACAGTGTTCCTTTGTGGCTGTACCTGTGATAATTCATGTTTTTACTAATATCATTGCTCATTAACAGAGTCTGTTGCTTTCTTACTACATTAAGCTCAGTAAGCAAGCTTTTCCATTGCTACTGATCTTCAGTTGTTATACATACCTGAGTTCCACGTGCGTAAACTGGTGCAGCAACCTCTATAGCAGTGGCTTTTCATCAGTAAGAGGACAGTAAGATTACATGTTTTAAATACTGGATTAACAGTAGTTTTTAGATGCTGTATGTTTTTAYACTTCCAGGGACAACTATCCTAAGTCTCGGATGCCAAGAGCACAGAGCTATCCAGATAATCATCAGGAATTCTCAGGTGGGAAAAAATAACTGGACACACTAAGCTTTCCAGAACTGCTCCTCTTGTAAACAATAGGGCTTAGAAAGGATGTTCATATTGAGAAATACTGTATCACACAAACYATATGGTAGAAGAAAACAAAACAACACCAAAAGCACACAGTCAAAGATGCCATGGAAATACAAGAAATTCCAAGTGTTTTCTTCCAGATTACTGTGTGTGACACCACTCTTAGTGTGCATAGGATAACTATTTGCCTCTGTAAAAAGAACAAGTGTTGCCGTGCATAGGAGCATGCAACACTTAAACTGGACTGTAATATCCATCTGTAAGTCAGTGTATAATTGTGGTTGATTTATTTAATTTGGAGGTGTTGTGGTTTAACCCCAGTAGGCAGCTAAGCCCCACACAGCTGTTCGCTACCTCCCCRACATGAGAAAATCCAGGGGGAAAAGTAAGAAAACTCATGAATTAAAATAAAGGCAGTTTAATAGKAYAGCAAAAGCTGCACACACAAGCAAAACAAAACAAGGAATTCATTTAGCACTTCMCATCAGCAGGCAGGTGTTCTGCCATTTCCAGGAAAGCAGGACTTCATCGCTCCTAGTGGTTAACTGGAAAGACAAATGCCATCAGTACAAATGTGCTCCCTTCATCTTTGTCCCAGCTTTCAGTTCAAAGCACAACCTCAGATAGTCTGGGATATCCCTTGGGTCAGCCGGGGCCAGCTGTCACCAGGTGTGAAGTGCTCATGACTTCTGTAATTGAAAGTGCTGCAAAGTGAAAAGTGAAAGGATGGAGAACTGTGTGCAGTGACTGTAAATTAATCATCACCACTAATGTTTTTTTCATACAATACTCTGGCTTGAATCCAAGTTGTTGTGCAGGGTTCAGGCTGCAAAGTGCAGTGGCTAACCTTGAAAGTGTCTTCTGAAGACACACCTCTGAAGTGTCTTCTCAAAGTCAAGTCTCACTACAAAACTTWGCTGTTGAATAAAAATTAGTTTCCAGTAAATCAAAAGGGTTTTCTGTTTCTTCAGTCTGTTACATACTTTGAGGCTTCTTTTAATTTTGGTTTTTAAAGCTTTATCTGCATAAGTGTATGATGGTGAGGTTTTTTTTTTCTTTTTAAAATTCTAGAGTGCTTAACAGATTGCACCACTTTTAAATTAAAATAAAAATWAAATTATGTGTAAGAAGCATTTAGGTGGCAGAGATAGGTACCAAAAAGTTGGAAATGTCACAAATTAGTTTGCCTTTTGTAAAATCCTGATCTAGTTTGTTTGTGTTTATTACAGTTACTTTTTTAATAAGATCATCTTGCAATATTTTTTTTTTGGGGGTTTGTTGGTTTTTTTTCTGCATGGGATATAATGGTATGTTAATAGTGGGATGGATAGCAATCACTAATTACATATTCAGTATTTATTCTCATGATTTGATGTGTAACAGGAGCAGAAAAAAAGTCCATCTGGCCTAGTCTTTTCCTCCTGCCACAACAARTACTGGGCTTCTACAGAGGGGTGTGTAGTCATCTTCTCTCAGAATATATTTCCAGTCATGTATTGCTCAAGGGTTCTACAAATGCAAGATRTTCTGTGATTTGATGGATGTTTTCCCTTCCACAAATTTTTCTTTTCCCTCTTTCAATTTGTATAAACTTTCTAAGTATCAACTGTAGGTTGCAACACAAAGTTGTGCAATTTATTGTGTTTTGTGAAGAAGTATGTGCTTTGTGATATTTTTAAATTTTTGTTACAGTTTAAATTTTAAATTTTTGTTACAGTTTTTCAGTGGATTGGTTTGGTTTGGTTTTTTATGGATTTCTTTGTTTCCTTTTGAGCTTGCTTCTCTAGTATATAGAGGCCTAAATTCCTCATGGAGAAGCAATTCTGTATCTTTGATCATCTCTGTACTTCTAAATATTTTCCAGTTTTACTAGATCCTTTGAAATGGAGTAGACCAAAAYTTTTTTCCATGTATCTTACAGTATTTAATTTTCTTCTCAGCTAATACAAGGAGTTCAACTGCTGCTTTTTTGGAAGCTTCTATCACAGACCTTTATAAAAGCCTATACTGAATTTCATCTGCAACTTTTAATATCCAGTTACATAGACTCTTAAGGGCCTTCTCTAATTCTTCCGTTGGCTTTATTTCTCCCTGTGGTTTTGTTGCCTCCCTGTTTCTTGTTCTGTACAGAGAATTCTCTGATAATAAAACTGCATGAGTTTTATCCCAGATTCCTGTGGAACTGTTGACTATTTSCTCCCTTCTTATGTACTTATCTTCTAACCAGTTATTTATGCATGAGGGACTTTTCGCCGTATCTTATACTTTTCTCCTTCAATAACTTTTAAAAGAGGATCTGTTGAATGTGTTTTAGTAATTCAAGTTGTGTTGACTCAWTCACCAGATTTTCATATTTATACAACTTTAAATTACATTCTTTGGAATAGTTTCATTTCTCCTCTGAAAAGTGTTTTTTAAACTGGAGTAACCAGGCATACTGCAGTATTCCAACATTCTTTTAAGCAACACGTTATAACACTTAAACTGTTGAGTTTTTGATCCTTKGGGACTTTTGACTGAATGTCCTTTTAGTTCTTGTGAGTTGTTAGATTTTGTCCTCTAATCTCTTTTTGCTCTGATGCTTGAATTTGAAGCATATCCTCTGTTWTGTTCACCCATTTTAAGTTTGTGTTACCAAAGTGATTCATTTAACATGCTTTTGTCACATTTTAAATTTTGAAATGAATCCTTTTATTTTCTAGTAGAGTATGATATCCCAATRTTTGAGAAATTTGGAAAGGGGGGGACTTATCCCAGAAGATAYCATATTTCATATCATCAACAAGACTACAATGATGGTAAGTATTAACAGTGCAACAGTTTCATTAATCTTGTTTTCTCCTCCGAAAATGAATAAAATTGTAAGATTGTAATGAAATTAAATGAAAATATTGAAGAAATTGAAARCTTAAATTCTTTCCCCTAACTCACTTGATAAGCTTCTAATGATTGATAGAACTTCTGAGTAGTTTTATCTCTGGTAAAGTTATGTATTACTGAATTCCTGACTCATGCACAACTGTAGAAATGTTTGCTGTCTTTGCCACAGACAAGTCATCCAATATAAGCTCTTGACCTTTGTGACCCTTTTCTATCTAAAGTAGGTACATCACTTTGTCACTTTCTTGTTTTGCTTTAAGTCTCCAGTCTGACTGCTCTTCAGTCTGTGRTTACATTTCCTATATCCTTTCTACATGACTGCAAGCCAACCAATTGCTTTACACTTCGTAGTTTTTTTTGCTTTAGATTTTTCTTTAAATATGTATATTACACTTCCATATTGAATTTAATCTTCTTGATTTTTGAATCATCTCTGAACTTCCAATACCATTGTGAATTTTGATTTTTATCTRTAAGTGGACCTTCAGTCTGCAATATTTCAGTGTGTTAAGTTCCATCATACGTACATCMTGAGTTAAAATAGTGTATGGAAGTGGACTGAAGATAAACTGCTGTGGATGTCCACTTAAATTATCTTCCCCTTTGGTGAGAAATCACTGATAACTGCTCTACATCTGTCTGGTCCTTGATGAGTTCACTCACTTCCACTTAGTTCACATGTTGGCTTGTGAGAATGCCCCACTGAAATGGGAAAATTGGATCAGCTACATGGGACAAACCAATTATGATTGGTTTATCACCTTTACATCTTCTCAATAGTGAATAAAACTGCTTAATAACTTGTTTGGATATCTTTCTTGGAATTTCAATTGTYCAGACTAGTATATAAGTCTGAGTCTACTATTTCAAAGATATTTTATCTGCTTACTTTAGTCCTCTGGGAACTCCTCCTCCAGTGTAATACCTAATGAATCAGAGACTCCTTCAGTTACTGCTGAGTTCTGTAGGATGRAGTTTAATAAAGAGATTCTCTCCTAAAATTAGTTGTGTTATCTAAATAGATTAACATAAATTGTGTTAGTCATCTGGTTGTAATTAACATGTTGAAGATCAGTGCTCTGTTTTTTTTTTATTCTGATACTGTAATCACTTTCAAATTTTGCATTACTYGTTGATTGTGTTTTGGTTTTTTAAACACTTTTGTGGTCTTTCTGTTGATTGCATATGTCAGTCTTTCTTTGCATTCAATTCTTACTAGTTTACAGAAGGTAGAGGCTAGCTTAGGCACCACAGGATTGCAAATGTGTAATTTGTTCTCCTAAATATCAGAAATTTGGTATTTGAAGACTAATAGGGTAATAAAAGCAGAGGCAGGGTGTTTCCTTTTACCCTCCTAGAGATCTCTAGGTTTTTGCAGCATGTTGATTATATTTCTGAACAGTTCCAGAATTWGGTCACAATTTTCATCTCTTAAACATAAAGTTTTGATTCTGTCTAGTGCTTGTATACATCTGCGATGAATGTTTATTTTTTTCTAGGTGGTAAGTAAAACCAGTAAATTTCATGATGATTGCWTCCTATCCTCTGCTGTGGCAGATTYSAATKAGATGATACAGAATTCATAAAGTATTTTCWTGCACACAATGCATTGCAGTATTTTTTCATAGTGTAACATTTCATGTTCTATGTCTATCACTGAAGGTCGTAAAACTTTTCCAAGAGCCAGAAGGACTCAGGGGAACAACTTCAGATCACCAGTTAGTTTCAGTCCCACTGATCACTCGCTGAGCACCAGCAGTGGGAGCAGTGTCTTTACACCAGAATACGAAGATAACCGAATGAGAAGGAGGGGCAGTGACATAGACAATCCTACCTTGTCAGTCATGGACATCAGTCCACCCAGCCGCTGTAAGTTCTGGCATTTTTTTAATCCTGCTGCAAAACACCTACTATTCAACTATATCATGTCAAAACTAAGTATGTCATCCAAATATATGCCATTAAATAACATGTTTTTATCTCTCTAGTAAGTCAAGCTCAAGACAATGCTAATCAGTATTTTCATTGCTTACCTTGCCAACCTTCATGTAGGCTTTCAATTGGAATTTACATCTCTGATAATAAAACATTGTAAAAGTGATTTGTTAGACTCTTTAGGACCTGAGAAGGGTTTTGTAGTTGCAGTTACTATTTATTTTTGCAGATGTTGCTCCTATTGTCTRTTAAACTGYACATCTTCAGTGGTACTGCTTCATATTTGTGGTAGCATTTTGGGAGCAAATATATTTTGTGATGACTTCAGTAGCTCCTACCTTGTAATTATGCCTTTATTTTTTTTACAACAAAGTTGGTTGTTTAACATGCTTTTTCTGTTTTTCAGATTAACTATTGCTAGTTAAGTATGTCTASTTCTACCACAAATTATTTCGTGAATAAACTTAAGTAGCTCATGTTTTCCATCTTAGAGGAAGTTTTAGTATCTTTGTAATTTATATGGTGACATTTAGGACACACAGTCTCTGTTGTTGAAGAAGTAGTCTTTAAAAAAATAATTTTCTGTGTATTCCAGTTTTTCTCRATCTGATGAATAACAAGCTCATTTGAAAACCAAAACATACTTATATTTTCAGCACCACGAGCTCCAACTAACTGGAGACTTGGTAAACTGCTGGGTCAAGGTGCATTTGGCAGAGTATATCTGTGCTACGATGCTGATACTGGAAGAGAACTGGCTGTTAAACAAGTTCAGTTTGATCCYGATAGTCTGGAAACCAGCAAGGTAAGTGATACCAAAGAGAGACCTTGGAAAAGGCTTCTGCTGAAGTGGTGTGCTCTAGACCAGGCTCACATTCCTTTCCTTGAACAGGATGAACATGTTTTGAACATGTTTTAAACTATGTTGTGTTAGGAAGCCATGACCTTGTTAGGAACTCTGTTTTGTTAGTACCATAGATACTTAGTCTGATTACCTGATTTTAATATTACATCACATTTTTTAATTTTCAGACATATTATTTTGCTGTGAACATGCATAATTGGATTTGGTGCAGTCTCAGTCGCTAAAATTAATCTATTTTGAAGTGTGCTCTGAAATAGATAATTATTTATACTAACAGGAATTAGAGCAAATTCCATTTATAAACTGAAAAAGTTGTACTAATTTAAGTACAAATTGGAAACAAATTGTGTTTGGCTATGAAGAAAGTTTGAGATTATTTTTTTCCCATCTTTTTGATGCATTTCTATGTTTTGGGGATTTTTTTGTTTTGTTTCTGTTAATCTTTGTGCATCAAGACTAGCTGGTGTTACATATTGTGCTTCTCTCTAAAAAGCMCAAGTTTCCTTGTTAGTTTATTCTCTCTCTAAAATTGAACTTGTTCATCTTTAAATACTGGATGCTGAAGGAGAGAAACTATTTAAAAGTAGCACCAATCTTCTGTTTCTTCTTTTCCCAAACMATACTTGTTGCTTTTTACAGGATGGGAAGAGAATTATTACTTTCCCTACATTATGACTGCGTTCTGCACTGTGGGGAGCAAGGCCRGGGAAGCAATGGGTTGTAAGCATGATTGCAGAATTGAGTGGCTGCCAGTTATAGTTGCTGCTATTAGTGAAGTAGGATCAAGGAAAAAATCAAGAATCATTTGTGCTGTAGATTCCTAGTATAGTTGTTGTTGCTACTTCTTTAAAATGTAACAGAACAACAGATTATGCTTGGAAATGTTAAATATAAAATATGGTAGTATCTCTCCTGAAGCAACAAGTTCTGTGACCTCACTTATCATAGCATTTTGTAGTCATATGTGCCTCTTTGTGTAAAAAAAATCTATTTTCTTTCTAGCCTTAGAAGTGTGAGRGTATCGGGAATAGGCTATGACAGAAAAATTCAGGTTTTGATGAAAAACTTTTAGGTAAAATTTGGAATCTAGTCAAGTATGTATTCATGGGTTAGTATTTTTCCAGCATYTTATTGTACAGTCCATTTCAAAATACCTTACTTCCTGTTTGCAAGATTTGTAGTATTTCGGATGGCTCCAGAGGAAGCATCAGCTGTTAGTGTTTTTTCCTTTCTTGTATTTCATTATTACAATRTCAAGTGGTCCTCAAAGGCATTTTTAAAGTATGGTTTAACATAATGGAAAATTAAGAATTAATGCTAATTATTCCACTGCAAAGATTAAAATGGGGTGGAGGTAGGTGTGTCTATGTTTTGTTTGTTTTCTTACACAGTTGGAGGCTTATGACTTGTTGCATAATGATCTCTGACCTCATGCACATAGTGATATCTGCTGTGTTCTGAAACAAACATAATTTCAGGTGAAGAGAAATAATCAAAAGAAGAGCAAAATCATCCCAAAAATAATTTWTAGAAAAGACATAATTTTTACTTATCTCAATTTAACATTGGTATTTTYTTGTTATAAAATGCAAAGATTTTACATTAGCCATAGGAGTATTTTGTTACCTACTTTGCATAACATTTCAATATGTACATACTGCCCTGCTTTAAAAATTCCAAATCCAAAATCTCAGCTTTACTACATCAAGCTTGGTAAATCCTGCTTGTTTTGTCCTTTCAGGAAGTAAATGCACTTGAGTGTGAGATTCAGTTGCTGAAAAATCTGCTGCATGAAAGAATTGTTCAGTATTAYGGCTTCTTGAGAGATCCACCAGAAAGGACACTCTCTATATTCATGGAGTACATGCCTGGGGTAAGCAAGAGAGCTCATCCACTTCAGCCATCAATTGTGTGCAGTGTGACAAGCACCCGAGCATTCAGCTTTGCTCAAGTGCATACAGATAGTGGAAAATGTCCAAAAACAGTCACCAAAGATGGGTACTGGCAAGTGCTTGCAGTCTCCTGTATTCTCCATTGCTTTCTTGRGTTTTCAGAATTACAATGGTTTTGTACAAAAGCTCTTTATGTTTGTTTTTGGCCAAAGTGGTGCCTGGCAATGTCTTTGAAAAKACCACATTATCATTAGTTAACTCTTAAATCTTCCTGAATTTTAATGTTTTCTTTTGCTACCTTCAAGTATTTCAGGAAAACAAAGAGTASCTAAGATGGGGGTGGGAATAAATGCAGAAAATAATCTTGGTGCTTGCGTTTTGTGTGGACCTAGCATATGCTGAACTGCCATTATTCTGTTTTGTTAGGAAACATTATAACATCAGAAAACTGTAGATTTTAATTTTCTCACCAAGTGGGGTCAGTAGAGCTAAATAAAATGTGCTTGTGTAAAAACAGAGGCTCTGTATTTCTGTATAGTTACAGCATTCTACTTATTATGAGACTCCACAGGGGAAAAGCAATGTCCAGGGATTGTTGGGGTGGTGGTAGTGAGATTTTGTTTGCTTCTTCATTTTTTGAGATCTGGGCTTTGGGRGACTTGAATTTTTCTGAGATTTGGAGAGCAATGTGACGGTAGTAATCTTAGCAGTTTGTAACTCTGACAAAGCCAGGTTATACAAAAATAGTTTCAAGAAACCCAAGAACTTTTGATTTAATGTTATTTTAAGCTAAGACTTGCTTGCCTCTTAATTTTTACATAAAACACCACCCTACAGCATGTAGTGATTTTTTTCTTGACAGTGTTTTTTTCTGAATATAAACTAACAMAAAGGGCATGTGTTATGTCCAACCTGAGTATGACCACTTACCCATCAGAAGGTTTGAGGGCGATGTTGAAGTGAAAGTAGTGCTGTTCTCTTTCTGTACATTGGGCTGGAACTCTTCAGCTGCTTGAGAGTTTTAAGGTTAAATCAAGGAAGATTGTAACTTCAAGTGTCTACATTTCAGGCATAAATTTAATTGAATTTCAGTTGAATTCTAGAGGTKTTAGTGCTTTATACTTCTTTTGTGCCRTAGGGTTCCATCAAAGACCAACTGAAATCGTATGGAGCACTCACAGAGAATGTTACTCGTAAATATACACGGCAGATTTTGGAAGGAGTTCACTATTTGCACAGTAATATGATTGTCCATCGAGATATTAAAGGTAATGATAGCTCTTTGTGCTGTTTAGTGATCTTTATTACTGATCCTTTTCCAATCTTATGAGAAGTACTAATGTGCAGTTAAGTTTGAAATACCAAAATATTCATGTAAAATCAATGGGATTGCTTTCCATCTTTTAGTCTTGTCACTGTTGTAACCTGGGGAGGGAAAATAAGCAACTTCGAGATGTTCTAGCAGACTGCTGGCAACATTTCTTTAGTTTCTGTCTGCAAAACAATCATGATAAATTCCTTTGATTTTATTTTGCTATTAATAGTTTTAAGTATATTGGACAATGATGTCATTAGGAATAGAATGTGCAGAGGAAAGCATCATGACATGAAAGTTTGTGTTTACAGAGTTCTGTTTCATCAGTTACATAGAAATTTCCCAGCACTTCACTGGTACAAGAAGTGACCAGCAGAGGTGATTGCCTGATCAGACTTCTTCCATTTTGCTGCCAGGAAGCCTGATGAAGCATTTACTTTTGCAGATAGGTACAGATGACTTGCAAGTGTTGCACAAGCAAGGTGTGAATATGTAGGAAGATGATGTACAGCAWAGGTGTGTTGAACACAAAGTTGTTGTATTCCCTAGTATTTTTGCCATCTTCCTGTTACTTTGTATCAACAGTGTTTTGTTCCAAAGTAGGTTCAGATATCGCAGTCAATTTGTACATCTTGTGCAGATAACTGTTTTGAATAAATCTGTAACACAGTTCGAGATTTTGCTTTAAAATAGTATGAAGCCATTTTCAGTTGTGTGGAAACTCCCATTTCTTTTTATTTCCCATGTATAGCACATTCCTTATTTTTTTCAGGAGAGCTTTACAAAGGGAGTGCCCCTTCCCAGAAAAAGCCTARGATGCAAACCAATGTGTACAATTCATTATTTTCTGAACTGCAGAACAGAATAGTAGGAATGAGCAAAGAAAGTAAATTCTCTGGCTTGGAATCCTAGATTGATGTTGTATTGTATCACTGAATCCAGACTTCTGTTACTGTTTTCCAAACCAAAACCTTGAGGCATTCCTGWACCTAATGTTTTGTTCCCTTCCTTCCAGGAGCAAATATTCTGCGGGATTCAGCAGGCAATGTGAAGCTTGGTGACTTTGGTGCCAGCAAACGACTGCAGACYATCTGTCTCTCTGGTACAGGAATGAAGTCTGTCACAGGAACTCCCTACTGGATGAGTCCTGAAGTTATTAGTGGAGAAGGGTACGGCCGAAAAGCAGACATCTGGTATGCAAAAAAAACCCTTTTCTACTGGAAAGTGTTGTTTCATTTTCAGCAGAGTAGGTGTTTGTTATCTGAAGCTGCAATGTTTCATTCTGAGATTTAAACTGAAGAAGGTGGCAAATGTGAGCACTGACAGTTGTATTTAGAGAGTCTTAATATTGAAATTTAGTTTTTTATGTGGCAATTTCTCAACCCATCAGTTTAGAAATCATAACACAATCCTTTGAACTGACCTTGCATGAAGTTAGCATTACCAGACTGTTCGTTAATTCTGGAGAGGTATTGGCTGAAGGCAACATATGAACCTTTGAAACATCAGTTCAATGTCCTGTAATGGAACTTCAGTACTGAAATACTTTTAATGCAAGGCAGAAAGTAAAATGGTAGTCCTCTAAAGGTTGAACACTTAAAAAAAGTGAAACTTATCAGTGAACTTGCCAGATTTCAAAGGGAGTATAAAAATAATTTGGCTTTAGTTGTCATTAAATACTTAAGAACTAAGAGGGAAAGTTAATTTTCAAAAATGAAGGTTAGTGAAAAGTTCTGTCATATGCCCCAGTCGAACACAGCTCCAGCCAGTGAACAGATGACTTTGGCAGTGAGACTCCTTGTACTGCAGCTGATCTGTGAACATGCAATAAYGGGCAGGTGGCAGCAGATAGGCAGGAGTAGTAACACTGTGTGTTTAAAAAGGAACTACATTATATCCAACCAATGGCAATACTTTGAACTTCAGGAAAATTAATTCAGGGTACTTCACATTACTTAGGAATTACTCTGATATACATGAACAATAGACCAACCTTGTAATTTCAAGCCTTTGATTTATTCAAATTTGAAGTGTTGGTTCCAAGGCTATTGTGTGTTTTTTTTGGTGGAAACCTAAGAAAAAATACTCAAGTTGGACTTCTGTCTGTAAATCCTTATTGTGCAAAGCAATGTACCTCTGTTTAACCAGCAAACTTCTTGCAAATATCTTGAAAAACACTTAAACTTTCTGAGAATCAGGAAATTGCTCCAGTCTATCCATTTTGCACTTGTTTTTGGAAGATGCTGCTCTTTCAGGACTTCTGGAACAAGATTTCTCTGGCCAAGTATGTGCTCTTCTGCCTTCATGAATTCTTTAAACATGAGTTTTGTATACAAAGATTGTTTAGGAACTTMAAATTGTGTTTGCCAATCTAAATATATTTTTAGTATCCTTAAGTAAAAGAGAAGATCCCATGAAGTAGGGTCTTTGTTTTTCAGCTGCCATATTAYGTTTTCACACTATTCACTGGTAATAACTTGTGCATTGCTAATGAGCTGTCACACGTGGTATGTTCAGAACATTCCTGATGCTTTGCATTTCTGTTTGGCCTCAAGGAGCAGGAGAACTTCCAAGTGCAGCAGGAAAACTTCCAAGTGCAGTACTTAGTGTATGGCCTTTGCCAGCCTGCTGAGCACTGTATTGGTGTAGTGTATTGCACTACACCATATTGAGCACTGTGTATTGGTAGTGCCCTACCACAGTCAGTATTGCCCAAATATCTAACTACCTCTTCACTGAGGTAGCACCTTTTGGCCCAGTGAAATAATAAAGCTGAGACATAGGCAGTCATTCTGTAAATTAGAGATAAAGGTATAGCAGTATGTACCATTCTCTTCTAATGCCTGTTTTGTGCTGAAGTTGCTCTGTAGTCTTAAGTGGACACTACTTRTTTGTGATATTTTAGTTCCTCTCTGCTATTTCTTGTTTTCCTGGAAGGGCATGACTCTGTTGTAACCTGCTGTTTCACTTCTGTCTCTGTTTCAGGAGTGTAGGTTGCACAGTGGTAGAAATGCTCACTGAGAAGCCCCCGTGGGCAGAGTTTGAAGCCATGGCTGCCATCTTTAAAATTGCCACTCAGCCAACCAACCCCCAGCTCCCACCCCACGTCTCTGACCACGCTCGGGATTTCTTGAAACGGATTTTTATCGAGGCCAAGCTGCGACCGTTTGCAGATGAACTGCTAAGACACACGTTTGCACACTATCACTAACAGCTGCCTCAACTCAGCTTGCATCTACTGCATTTATTTTCTATTTGACTGCACTTTTATTTTTATTTTTTACAAAGAAAAAGGAGAAAAAAGACAAGAGAGAGAATATTCTCTTGAATTTTTGTTTCACTTAGATTGTAAACAATCTAAATTTTGTATCTAAAATGAGAATCTTCTCTCCCCTCCTCCCACCAGGACTAGAACTTTTTGTTTCTATAATGTACTGATGTGGTTGATGTAGTTAAAGCACTTTAGTACATATTTGTTCCTTATTTAAAGAGGAAAAAAAAATTACAAATGCTTGGACAGTCAGGAACTGTGTGACTTTTTCTGACACCGCTGACTGACTCAGGGTGCAGGGAAAAATAGACATGCAGCTAAAGGACAAGGAGGTTACTTCTCTGTGATTCTTCTTTATGTTGTAGGTACTTGCAGCAGAGAGTTCTAAGTTCTTACTRTATTTTAGCATTTTAATTAGTTTCTGAATTTACAGTTTGAGCAGGAACATGCAGTTCTGAGAGTTAATTGACRAAGCTGGAAGAACTTGGAACTCTTTGTACAGTAGCATGTCTAGCTGGTACTTCTATGTGACCAAAAGAAAATAACAAAAATGAGCTCAAAACTGATGTATTAGTTAGAGGTTTTGGTGTAGAATTATTGTATTATCTTAATAGGAAAATAATTACAGGTAAAAGATTATGGGCCAGACTCCTAGAGACTACTATATACTGCTAAGGGGAAGATTTCCACTCTAGACAAGGGTCAGCTGTTGGGTGTAAATAGTTAGGAGAACACCTCCTGCTCTATCTGCCAAAGACAACCTCTTTTGCTTAAGCTTAGAGGGAGACAGTTACCTAAGCTGATAAAAAATAGTTATGTTGAGAGTCARTTCTCCTCCACAGTCCCATGAATGGCTGGAGGGGAAAGGGAGTGACTAATCCTTGTGCAGTATGTAAGTTACTTGATTCAGAATGAGCTATAAGAAATGTTTTCAAAGCTGTTAAGAGGCGCTAGGATGGAATGTACATCAACATCAAGTGCCTGAATAATACAAAATTCTTCCCATTCTGCACTGAAAAAAAAAGGTTTAGTAATGCAGGTCAGTCATCTAGGATGTATTGAAAATTCCTGAAATAAAGTCAAAAATCTCGTAACATCAGGAATTGAGTCACTGAGAAAGATAAGACTCAAGTTATATTTTTAATAAGGTAGCACTGATGAATCCTATGAAGGAGGCACAGCACAGAAAATTGTACAAAGAATAGGCCAGAAGTGCAGAGAGCCAGCAATTAAATAAYATGAGTGTTACAATTCCAGCCTGATAATCCAGATGGGTGTTTGTTAGATTTCCAGCTGTCATAAARTGTATGTTAATCACTTTTTCTATTTCTGAAAGAGCCTAATAAAAGAAAAGAAGTAAAAATCTGAAATATTGCTTCTCAGTTGAGAAGCTCAGGTACTGATCAGTTGTAGTGAATAACTGACTTTCCACAACAGAAAAGTCAGACTCATATTTTTGTAGAAGAACAGAACATAAATAATTTAAAGGGGCATTTGGAAATAAACTGTTGGACTACAGAACTGAAATTATGTTTACTGTTTTGGATGATTCATTGCTTGCTTTTRTTGTTTTGTAAAGGCAGAGCAGGCTGGTACTGTGACCCTTGTCTACTTTGACAAGGCTCTACCTGTTCTGCATCTTTAGAGGACTATCAGAGTTACAAAATGCATGGAGACAGAACAATAAACTTACCCATTCCCACAGTCACTCACTCATGAGATTTCTGAATTTATTCTTTTGAATTCTGTATGTTTTASCAGAGAATAAGCAGGAGTATGGATCTATCCTAATCACTTTACCTGTAGTGGAGTAGGAATGATTTTTTTGTGACCATCTCTCCCAAGACTGAGAGTGGTGACTTCTTCAACTTGTGTGAGTATTTTACCCAGCTCATAATTTTCTCAGTCAAGGTACACAACTGTGCAAGGGATCCTGAGCACGGGAAGAACTAGTCAGACTGGGAAAAGTGTAAAAGGCTGAAAGGAAAGTCAGCTTGTACTGACTTTTTGTTTGTTTGGTTGGTTGGTTAGTTTGTTTGGGGTCTTTGTGTTTTGTTTTGTTTTTTTTTTGTTTTTGTTTTTCTGTCACTAGATAAAAGTTATGAAGCAGCCCTTAAGAAGAATTGGTATATACTCTGCTGCAAAGGACCTTTGCTTTATAAGCAAGATAGTGACAATAGGTATGGGAAGTTTAATGTAGAGCCTAATAGTTTATGTAGGTAATTTTAAAGATAATGTAATTGAAATGATTGATTTCAAACAGACTAAAAAGGTACCAAAACCAAGGTGAAAATGTATATAAAAATCAGTAGTGGTCAGTGATATCTGAAAAGGTAAGGAAATTTTATATTACCAAAAAAGGACATTAAAGGGAAAATGTAACCAGGTTTATCTGTAGCATTTATAACATTTAAATATACTATTCTGAAGAGAAACTGCACTCTCTGAAGCTTGAAAATTTTGAGAATCTTGTTTTCTTACAATGTGTCCTTTCTGTGAGACAGTGCTGGATCATGTATATTGCAATATCACTTCCTTGTTGTGATTTTGAATTACTGAACAATCAAGTTTGCTGCTTTTGTGCCTTTTCTAAAAAAAAATGGCATTCAGTCATGACAACAGTCAGCGCTTTGGAGCCAGGAAAAAAAAATTTCAGAATGCGTTTTTCATTATGTCTTTGACCTGTGAGAAAGCTGCCAATGTAGACTGTGCTGCTTTAATTGACATTTTCCAGTTTGAGAGATTCTAGAAAAATTTTACAGATTTAAACTAGGTTAAACAAAAAATTTTACAGATTTAATCTAGGCTTGAGCTAGTKTTTTTCATCCTAAGGAGAATTTCTCTACTGACTAACAACTTACAGTAAATGAGTTGGTTATTTACAGAAATGTTTTGAGCTAGAAATAATTATGAAGCTAAATCAGACTCTTACCAAAAGGTTGGCTATTACCTACCCCTAGTGGGATAATCTAGTAAAACGAGCTGTATACAGGGTTTGTTAGATATTTACAGGGACTCCTATGGTAATGGTGAACAACCCCTCAATCTAGAATTCATGAGGGCACATGGAATTTCATGCTTAAAACTCCATTGGAGGAGGATTGCAGAACCAAGATCCCTGCTCACAACTTCTTGTATCTCACTTAAAAAGACACCAGCATTTTAGAATCATTAATTAGTYCTAATTGTTGAATCCAATTATAAGAAATTACCAGTGAAAGCAATACTGCTGCAGGGTTGGTTTGCTTTTCTGTAAACACCATTATGAAGCTGTGCTCTCAAAACAATTGAAATTCACAGTGTCTATGTGTATTTTCCRAAGTCTTACTTATCTCCTAATGAATGTTAGTTTTCTGTCTGTTGCACATATTAAGTGACAAAAGTTAAGCTACTTCTGTGGTATGGTTTTAATGGTGTCACTAATAGTCCTGTTAGAGCATGACTCAAGTTTTCAGTTGTGTTTAGAAACAGTTTCTTGTAGAGAAAGTTGTTTATTTTTATTTGGTTGATAGAAATATCCATGGAAGAACTCAAAAAGTTATGGATATAGTATTTGCATACTTAAATCTACATAGTTTTCTTTTCCTTACAGATTAAATACAGTCTTAAAACTTGATTTACAGTTCAGTTTGTAGCTGAACAGTTCTTTCAGTACCGTAAAATTAAAAGTTGTTTTTTTTTAGCTAGTGCCTTTTTCTCTGTATGCCTTAATTTTGTTCATGTTAGAACACCATATTGAAATATGTCATACAATTCCATGTCACCAAAGGAGTCTTAGAGGATGGGTTTTTTCAAAGTGCCCAAACCAGCGTTCACCTAACTGCATTGAAAAGTGTGCTTGAGTTACAATTTACAGCAGACATTTAAATTGAGAATATTGAAGTGATTTTTTGCTTCCTGTGCTAATACAGGAATTTGCATTTGCATTCTGGAAATGCATACCAGAAAGAAGACWTGTCTGCATGCACAGAAGTAACTGGATTGCCAGGGTATGGTTTCCTGGGTTTGGGTACCAGCCTCTGCAGCAGTTTCTTACTGGGCTCGAAAGCACAGTTGGTACATTTGTAAGCATGGTACTGTATTAAAAGCTGTTTACTTTCAGTGCACAGGAATATGATCTGTCCAAGSAAATCAACAGATTTCTTTCCTGTGCCTTTTGGATAATCCTAATCCTGCCGTTGTCTTGACTGAAAGCCTTGTAGCACCCGTAGGTACAGTGCAGTACAGCAAGCCATTCTTTTGGACAGCATAAAGTGATGCCTAACTGCAGCTTCAGAGACTTGAGCTAATTGGTCAGTTATTTRTAACCAATTTCTTACTTTTTTAATCTTGAAAGACTGTGTCACTCATATAGAAAAATATAATGTGTGTGCTTGAATGTAAGTCCCTATGGTGTTTCTGGAAAAGCAGAAGTATTGCTGCCAGTGTAATTTCTTCTTGCTGGTAACTTGCTGTCTTGTGGCAATGACAAGTCTGCAGTGTAGAATCACATATAATTACCAAAGCTTTTCTATCCCGTATACATATAGCTAAAAGTGATATTTCATGTCACTTACAATAGTGTATATCCACCAGTAAACTGTTGCTGATTGAGTAAAGCAGGTATTAGTAAAGAGTGATAAGACACTGCCCATATTTCAGAGATGTGGATGTTTATAGTTGCTGTTTCGATATGCAAAATTCATGCCTGTATTAAAATGAAGAGTTTTCTTTTTGAAAGCTCTTTCTAATTTAATCTTAACTTTTGTCATTCTAAAATTACTGCATAAGCTTGGTGACTAAAACCTGGTGATTTCTGTAGCTGGGTTTGAGCCTTGGGACATTTAAGGAATGCCATGAAGGTAAAATTGTGACCTGATCTGCTTAGTGTGCCATAGTGAGAACATTCCAGAGTTCCGGGACGCAGCCAGTCCTCTCTRTGTGACAGCCAGATGTCACTCATAGTTACCTGGGTGTGGGTGCTGCCTGTAGGAGACACCAAGGGGTCAGACAGCTTTGCTATCAACCCAGGGTTTCTGAMTCAAAATCTGTGATCAGAAACAAAGGAGGTCCTTTGTCATTTGCTTTCCCCCACTAGGCCCACACTGTTTATTTTTCTTTCTAGCTGGCAGAGCTTAAGTCCTACACAGGTACTGGCCACTGACAGCTCCTGAATAAGGTGTGTGTCCACCTTTAGACCAGGATGCTGCAGCTCCTGTTTTGCTGCTCCAGTCCTTGGGTTTTCTCTAGCAATATATGCCCATACTGAGGTGAGCAGTAGATGGGATGGAGGAGATTAAATTTCTCATGTTTCAGAGTAGTCACACCTTGCCTAGGGCTTAGTTTTCACAAACTTACTTTAAAGGGAGAGGAACTGGATTAAACTACATAAAAATTGTATCTCATGGTTCAGCCCTTATGTTGAGTCCACAGGTGTGAATTGAAGGTCAGGGTCTTCTGTTGAGCGATAAGGATACTCCAGCTCCAGAGTGGATAGTCATGGGAAATACATCAGAGATTTTTTGTGCTTTTTACCCTAAAACTAGATGATCCTTTTTCCCCAGAGGTTTATACAATGTGGATATAAAACCAAGGATTGTGTTTATCTTTTCTGAACAGCCGTTAGATTGTCATTTCCCTAGTGTTTGTTTCTTGTTAATACCAGTAAAAAAAGGTGGTGTCACCCTAAAATTGGAATGGTTTATTAAAGCATAGTGTCTGTCATCTCAGACCTCGCAGGAGTCATAGAATGGAGTATCACTGTAAATATGTGGAGGAGACTTAGATTGGAACATAGGCTTTTAGGTTTCATGAAGCTATGAATAAAAATTTGTAAATTTCCTCTTGATCTAATGTACATTTTTATGTAGCCATTAAATTCTCTATTTAATCTATCAGTTTCTCACTGTAAATGTTTTTACTCTCAGTTGAATGCTGGGCACAGTTTGTAATSTATGTACACAAAGGTGTTTTTTTCTATCAACGTTGACTTTTTTGCACATTTTTGGAAATATTTAATTTGTACACTGATTTAATACTCTGACCAATTGTCAATGGGTGTATGAGAATCACGTGTGTGTGCAATGTACTACTGTCTGGATGTATGGGGTTTTTTTATTACTTTCGAGATGTTGCTACCAGTAACTGCACTGCTGTTGCTGCTTTACATGGAATATCTTGTGTATTAAAAAAAAAAAAAAAAAAAAAAAAGATAAAAACAATTAAAAATTAGCTAATGTCTATCATGGTTGAGGAACTCAGGAGTTGGGCATTGCTTACTAGTTCCGTTGTCTAACAACCTTCCAAACTTAAAAACAGCCTACCCAACCCTGCCTTGTAATTCTGTGTATGCATTGAATGTGTGTGTGTATATATCCCAGTAATCTTATTCCACAATTTCATTTCTACATTTTTATGAACTTGTTTTTTAAGGGTACTATGTTTAGTTAGAATAATTAAATATATAAAAGCTTTGAGAGATGATTTACTAGATAAATATATTTTCAGCTGGCTGATGTTCAAAATATTTTTTTAATTTTTGTTTTTAACCATTCGAAATGTATTTGTATTTCCAAAATCAGACACGAATTGTACTTAGAAATATATTAAAACACTCTGTAGGGACAACAGTGTGATTTCTCTTTTAAGAATTGTGTACTTCAGAACACTGCGCAATGTCATTCTCGTACCTCAGTTCCGAGTTGGCTTTTTTATTGTTACTTACAATGCGGTTTGCGGAAGTCTTTCTTTTATTAATTTTTAATCTCTTTTCCCGCTGGCCCGGGGGTGGCCTGGGGTGCGGTGATGTCCCATCCCCGAAGCCGCGCGTCTCCCCGCGGTGGGAGGGCCCGGGAGCAGAGAGGCGGCGGTGCCYCCGCCCCTCGGCCCTGCGGAAGTGACGCGCGGGCGGGCGCTGCGCGGCGAGGCCGCCATGGGCAGGAAGGAGAGGGGTGAGCGGGGCTGGGGAGCGGCGCGGGCCGGGCCGGGCCGGGGGGCGCTGGGAGGGGCCGCTCACAGCTCCCGCTCTGCTCCCAGATAAGAAGAAGTCCAAGAAGCGCCATTACGATGACGACGAAGACGATGAGGACGAAGGCGCCGGGAAGGAGCCGCAGGAAGCGGTGCCGTCGGCGGCGGGGAAGCAGGTGGAGGAGAGCGGCACCAAGGTGGACGAGTACGGCGCCAAGGATTACCGGCTGCAGATGCCCCTGAAGGGCGACCACGCCTCGCGGCCCCTCTGGGTGGTGCGTGCGCGGGGGGCGCTGGGGCTGCCCTGTACCCGAGGGTGGGATGAGCGGGGATCGCTGCGGGACACGGAGCGGGCCGGGAGCGGAGTGWGCGGGGGGAGAGCCCCGGGGTCGCTTGGAGCGGGGTTCGCTGCTGTTCGGGGCGGGTGCGTCCCCTGCAGTGCTTGTGCGGCGACAGCCTCGACGGGAGCCCCCGGCAATGCGCAGGRAATTGCTCCAACTCCAGCAGCCTCCAGGCAGGGTCCCCGCAGTGCCCGGGCAGGGCGCAGGAGCATCTCAGGGAGGGCTGTAGGACAGCGCGTTGGCTGATGACACGGGAGGGTTCTGTCACTGCAGTGACACAGCAGCARGGTTTGTATGTTGGAGTGAAACAGCTTTAAGGCAGGCTGGCCTCATCYTCTGTTGTTTTCTCTGCATTTTAAAAGGGTCATCAATGAATTTACCCAAGGTTTGGTCAGTGATGCAGCATCTAGGGAAGAGTTGGTTGCCCAGACAGCATCTGCAGGGTGCCTGTCACTGAGTRCAGTGACACCCAAGTGCCATAACGTGTCTTTCATTCATTTATTCATGCATTCTGTGTAAAATGAGCAAGGAGTTCTGTTTTTCTGGCGAATGGGAGTTTGCCTTTATTCAAGCAATTTGTTTAGCATTAAGAAAGAAGGAATACCTCAGTATGTCAGTTTGGAAAAGCTGTTGATCTGGGCGTTTATTCATGGTGCTATGGAAGGGACATGGACAAATCAGTGCCTGGACTGTGTCAGGAGACAAAAGTTATGTGCATTGTAACTTCATTATAAGATTTAGTTCAGCTAACACTGTTGCTGACTGTTAGCAATTCAGCTAACAATGCCTTCAGCATTTCTTTTTATTTCTGTAGGCTCCTGATGGCCATATATTTCTGGAAGCCTTTTCTCCAGTTTACAAGTATGCACAGGACTTTCTGGTTGCCATTGCTGAGCCTGTGTGCAGACCCACCCACATCCACGAGTACAAGCTGACTGCTTACTCCCTGTACGCTGCTGTGAGTGTGGGCTTACAGACCAGTGACATCACCGAGTATTTGCAAAAACTCAGCAAGACTGGTGTCCCAGATGGAATAATTCAGTTTATCAAGGTGAGGCAATTTTAGTGGCCTTGGAAATACATGTCTTGCTGCTAATAAATTCCTTTCCTGCTGCATCTGCCTAATTGGCTTATTGTTTTTTAATCATTCATGGTTTTTGACTGTCTTATTCTTCTATCACTGTTTCAGGAGAACATTATATTTTTTCTGCCCTTTTACAATGCATATTTCTGCATACATACTATTTCCACAATATATCCTGTGTGGGATTTATAATAAAAAAGTACACCCTAGTGCCTGTAGGAGGAGACACTGCAGATAAACGTTTTGTGATGATGTGGGCTTCCCCACAAAGATGTAAAGCCACTTCAATGTTTGGTCCTAGACATGCAATCTCCTTTTTGCATGTTCCTAACTACAGCTCTGTTTGTTTGTAGCTGTGCACTGTCAGCTATGGGAAGGTGAAGCTGGTTCTGAAACATAACAGGTAAGTGGCTTCTTTCTTAGCTCTTGTGGCARGAGGTCCTCCAAATGCACACCAGTGCATGAGTGAGTGCTCTCAGGAGCTCTGGGGTATCACACCTCCCAGCTGAGTGTAACAGCTCTCAAGTATCACTTCTACAGCTTTTGCAAATACTTAATACATTAGCTGATGACTTATGTTTGGCTATCCTGAGCAAGTGYGGGTTGTTGTCACGTTTTTTAAAGTAGGTTGCAAWTTTTTTTTTAATGTGGTGGCTTGTTTCTTTATTACTTGGACCTGCATTATGTCCTTGAGGTTTTCAAATTATTGTTTTCTTCCTTCCTTCCTAATGTACATTACCCTGGTTAGACAAGTTTTCCACAGCTGTCCTGCAGTCTTGTATATTCTGACTTGTGTTCTGTTATTCCGGAAAGATAAGCAAATCCAGTGGCAAGAGGTAGGTGCTTGTGTCTGGGTTCAATCTGATTTGTTTTAAAGCTAGATTATAATGCTGGAAGGGGCCTGAAGAAAGCTCATRTTTTAGCTGTCATATCTGGCCAGTGTCATCATTGAGGAATCTCCAGGATACACTGGTTTTAAGTTTGGGTTTTTTTTGGCTTTTTTTGGTGCTGTGGACAGGACTTGAAAATGCCATTGTTTTCACAAACTCACCTCAGTTCAATCTAAAAACAATTAACTTTGCTTGCATGTCACAAGTAAGATGTGAGTGAGAGGTCTGTATGAGCAGTTCTGCTGGAGTTTTGCCAYTCATGTTATATTAGAGAACATTTGAGAAGATGGATTAATAACTGCACAGTACATGATACTTTTGGTATGAGGCATCTTTTAAAAATTTTGGTTGCTAATATGTTGTTTTTCTTTTAATTAACATCCCAAGATTGGATGCTTGAGAGTGCATCTGGGACAGCTATGCATTTAATCATCTGTGCCACTTTTCCTGTGAGTTATTCAGTTGATTAGTTCATAAAAAATGTTTTCCTTTATTGATTAATTTTAGGTATTTTGTGGAAAGTACCCATCCTGATGTCATTCAGCAGCTTCTGCAAGACCATGTAATTAAAGAATGTCGCCTGAGAAATGCTGAGGGTGAAGAGACAGAGCTCATTACTGAGACATTCACAAGTAAATCAGCGGTATGTCCAGCCATCTTCTAAAATTACTGCAGTGACTGGAGGTAAACTCTTGAGTAGTTTGTGATTATTGTTTGTTGTATCAGCTTTGTTCTGCCAGCAGCAAACTTTCCCTCTTTAATGAGCCCAAATCCGAGGGGAAGAGGGGAGCCAGTGTGTCTCTAATGAAACCCTTGGTGAAAATTCATGTTGTTCTTTTTCAGATTTCCAAATCCAGTGAAGGTGGCCTTGGTCCATCAACTTCACAGGGAACAGATGCTCAGAATAAGCCAGAYGTCCCAGCTGACTTATTTGAGTTTTATGAACAGATGGACAAAGATGAGGAGGAGGAGGAGGAAACGCAGACCGTGTCCTTTGAAGTCAAGCAGGTATGATATTGCACATAAGCACATAAAGCATGAGAACTTACTAGGCAATACTGTGGCTATTCATTTGCTACGGGAGGTCCCTGGAAGTCGTTAACATTTCTTTTCTTTTACTTTTCAAAATTTTAGAATCTTAGAGGGTGGCAGGCTGGCGTTGTTCCTTCCCAGCCTGCAAAGCGCAGTGCTCACAGGCCAGAGAGGCTCCAGTGACTCAGGGAAATTTCATCACATGTGGCTGAGTATTACTTAGTGCAAGACCAGTGAGAATTCAGTGGAGGTCTGCTTTCAGAGAACTTTTTTTTTCCCTTTTTTTCCCTCCTGCTTTTGTTTTGTCGTTCATGGTTGCAGAAGGAACTCTTTCTTGGTGGTTCCAATTTCGTCACTTGCGATGGGGTGCTGAAGGTTGGAGCACAGTCCTTGCTTGACATTCAGAGAGCTTCTATAGAATTTCTCAAGTTGTTTTTKGATTTGGTGGTTCTAATGATACCTTAGTGGGAGAAAAGGGAATTTAAAAAAGGATAACTTAGTAGCTGTTTTGTTTATATGAAAAAACTAACCCAGACCAAGGTGATTGATTCATCTTGTCATTGTCTTGAAATAACCCCCGTGCAGGATACAGAGGTTTTCAGAGTAACAGATGTGCAGCTTTGGGTAGCACAGAGAACCTTTTGTGTCTGTTACTGGACTCTGTTGCTGGACTTCACGGTGTAGGTTAGTCATTGCTGGGGAAGCAACAATCTGAGCTGAATGTGTCATGTTCTGCCTAAAGAGCCCTCTCTATTTTTTTTTTAACTGTTATTTAAAATGTTTGAGAGGAGGGGGTGATCACAGGTAAAGTTCCCAGAATAAACCTTAATTCTTTCAGACTTCCTAAGCATAAAAAATAAATGAAACTTCACTTGGTACTATATAGCCTAGTTGTTTTTAAGGTGAAAAATATTAATTCAGTTGTGGAGAATTTATCAACTGAAACTTTGTTTCCTCTTCAGGAGATGATTGAAGAACTTCAGAAGCGTTGTATCCATTTGGAGTACCCCTTGCTGGCAGAATATGATTTCAGAAATGATTCTGTGAATCCTGATATTAATATAGATCTGAAACCTACTGCTGTCCTCAGGCCCTATCAAGAGAAAAGCCTGAGGAAGATGTTTGGGAATGGACGAGCCAGGTCTGGTGTTATTGTCTTGCCATGTGGTAAGTTTCTGGGTTGGTACTTAGAGAATTTTTTCTTTATTTGCCTGTAATAAAGTGAATTCCAAAGATGACAGCTGCCTGGATTTCAGACAGTAGCAGGGACTGTTCTGGTCCCAATATGCAGAGTCCTGGTGGGTTTATYGAGCAGGTGGTGAGGCTGTGCTGARGGAGASCCAGGWCACAGAGCTGTTGRTGTCCAGCAGGGGCTGAGGAGCTGGGGAGCAGCTGTGCTGCCTTCACATTGCCAGTCGTGCTTCCACTGTGCCCTCTGCCACTTCTGCTCACCTTCCTTCATGTGAAATGTAAAGCTGTTGGCATTGGAATTTTCCCTTGGCTGGGAATAGAGAAACTGGGAGGAGATGGGAATACAAAGGTGGCATAAAGGGGTCATGCAAGGAAGCAAAGAGCAGGKGAGTTTGAGACAGAAATGAGAAACATACAGACTGAGAACATCCTACAGAAATTGGGGGGAAAAGGAACAAACAGGAGACTCGGTATTGGGGGAGGAGGAGGCACGTGGGAGAGGTGGTGAGGGCCTGAGAGTGTGTAATGGATGCTGGGAGAAGTGTGAAGAATGGGAAGATTTAGGAACTTGCTTTGTGGGGGAATGCACATAATTTGCAGGGACAGAGGAATCGATCACCCCTAGGGAAGCTTTCAGTAGCCACCTGTAATTTAACATTCTTTTGAAAAAGCATTAAAATGATTGCTTCTAATTGTCAAAGCCATTGTTTACAATTATTTTCTTGAGGARATAAGAGTTGTGTCTAGTAGACAATCTGTTTTTTTAAGAAGCAAATGCTTGATCTCTTTAGGATTATTGTAGCAAAGAAACAACAAAAGAATTTACCTTTGCATGATTTCATATCCTCTCACAGTTTTCCTTTGCTCTTTTGTTTTGTTTCCCTCCCACTCCAGTGGTGTTTGAGAGGTGCCTAATGAGTGTCACTTGTGCCCTGCAGGTGCTGGCAAGTCTCTGGTGGGAGTGACGGCTGCGTGCACCGTGCGCAAGCGGTGCCTGGTGCTGGGCAATTCCGCCGTGTCTGTGGAGCAGTGGAAGGCCCAGTTCAAGATGTGGTCCACCATCGACGACAGCCAGATCTGTCGCTTCACGTCTGATGCCAAAGACAAGCCCATTGGCTGTTCTGTTGCCATCAGCACATATTCCATGTTGGGGCACACAACAAAAAGGTCCTGGGAAGCAGAGAGAGTAATGGAGTGGCTCAAAAGTCAAGAGTGGGGCCTTATGATACTGGATGAAGTCCATACTATCCCTGGTAAGGACAGGGTGTGCMAACCTTCCATRTTGCACRCRTTGTTAATGTTCCTCTGCTCTTTTAGAAGTGGTATTTTGTTGTTGTTCTTATGATCAGTGTAGTGAGTAAACCCATGRCTTAGAGTTTTGAGACAAGTAAACTGCCTTGTTCTACTTCTCTTTTTTCTTTTTTYCCCTCTGATAYAGTTTAGCTGAYGACTAGTTKTCTGAAACYCTYYAAATTAGACACTGTATTTTCTCTAATGGCAGTGTAAAGCACAAGTTCCTCTATGTTGGTTGATGAAGTGCTCCTAAAATACCTGAATTACATTTGCRTAATTTTGCTGTAGATGTATTTCAACAGAAGAGGAATTCATCTGCCTTCTCTTCTTAGATACAGTGGCACTGCAGGCCAGCTTTTAATATCTATGAGTAACCATAGTGATTACCATCCAGAAATAACTGTTGTCTTTGAAATTGGCATGTAATTGAGATCTAGGCTAATGGAAAGCAATAATGTCATATAAAAGTGTCGGTGGAATAATCCTGGATAAAMATACCACCCAGGATTCTGTTAGCTACTCAACCTTATTCTCATTTGAATATAATTTGGTGTCTACCAAAGTAATGGATTTCAGAAGTAGATCTCARTGATTAATTCTCAGTTTATCAAAGTAGCACAATGCTGGTACTGTACTGTCACTTTTTTTCTTGTGTGCTTTCACAGAAATGAAGGTATAGCATCTGCTCTGTGGTCTCTGACAATACTGAAGATGAGTAATGCTGCCATATCCTGCAAGTCCTGAATGTGGCAGTCAGCCATGAGTCTTTGTGTCGTAGTTCTTTCTAGGAAATAATATAGACCTAAACCAAGCCATGTAACCTCTGAATATATTAATTTTCTCTTGGGAAATTGGAAATAATAAAGATGCCAGAAGGTTTACTGGGATTTTCAGAGTACACTTGACAATGCAAACTAAACTGCAATCACTGCGAAGTTTTGCTATAGCACAGATTTGTTAGTAGTGTATGTGGAATGGGGTAAAATTTCCCAATGCTGTGCTTGCTTTATGTTCAGGGGTTGATGCAAATGTCTTTTAAAGTTGCAGTATTTGTCTTCTAAAACCATTCAGGAAAGTTAACAAAAAATTTGTCTTGGATTTCTTAGCAAAAATGTTCAGACGTGTGCTCACTATTGTACAAGCTCACTGTAAACTGGGGCTGACTGCTACCCTGGTCAGAGAAGATGATAAAATTGTTGACCTGAACTTCCTGATCGGACCAAAGCTCTATGAAGCCAACTGGATGGAGCTGCAGAACAGTGGCTACATTGCTAAAGTCCAGTGTGCTGAGGTGATGATCTGCTTTTTGATACTATTAGTGTTTAATTAGTATGCTTAGAACTTTGCAAAAAATTCTTGCAACTCTTAAAACAAAGAAGGATAGTAGAAATTTTAAAAAACATAGGAAAACACCTGCTTACTTCAAGCCTGAACCATATGAGTGTGAAACTTGAAAACATAGGACTGGATCTCACCATTCTTCCCAGTATAATGGTGTGACCTCTGTTCTTTCCAGCATAAGGATGAGATGTAAGTCTGTATCAAAAGAAGTGAAAATCTTTCACACAGGCCTATCAGAATGTTAAARTAATCTCTCTGGGTCAGACTAAAAGGCTAACTTAATGTATTGTCTCTAATTGACATAGAAGATGCTTAAAGAAGAGTATAAATTTCTCTGAGCTCTCCATTAYTGACAATGTTTTCATGTAAACATTAGCGGATTGCATTTTCATGAACTTGTCTGATCTCCCATTGAATGGAAGTAAAGATTTAGCAGCTGCAGTGTGTTATGGTAGACTTTTATGAATGTTTCTTGTCTGCTTGGGGTTTTTCCTTCCTCTATTGTTTGTCAGGATTTTCTGTCTTTTTGTTGTTTGTTGGTTTGGGTTTTTTCTTTTGTTGTTATTATTGTGGGGTTTATTTTGAGCCTGTCTTGCTAATTTCATGCAATTCTCCCTAGCTCTGGTACTGGAATAAAAGATGAAGATGCAGGTCAGCTGTTCTTCTTTTGAACACTGTGCAAACTGGAGGTTGTAGAATGAAAAAAAACCACTGTCTTGAACTCATAGAATGCAAGTGAAAGGCATTTGGAAAATATCTGTTGAAGGGAGAGTAACCAGCCCTCAAATTCAGATTTGCATTTAGGCCCTTTGGTTAGTTCTGCCTTGTGAGGGTAGTTCTGCCCTTTTGTCATTGAAAAGTGAAGCATCAGCTACTTTTTGTTCTGAAAGATGGGAAAATTCTACAAGTTTAAATTCCTTAGGCCGATGTTTTGAACTAACATTTGATGGCTCTATCAGAAGCAAAGAACAAAAAAGCCTGGTATTGATGGCTGATAAATAAAAAGCCCAGTATTGATGGCTGATAAATAACAAGTCCAATACGTGCACAACTGCCTTGCATATTGGTTTGGGTTTTTTGACATGTTGAGGAGTAGCACCATAAATCAACGTTAATCAACTCCCCACAGCCAGGGGAGGTGTCTGGCTCACTCTTTAAGTGCAGTTCTTCCCAGGTGGCCGGAGAAAGCAGTGTTCATGTTTTGTAGGGTGGGTCATGGTCATTGCAGGTGTAGCTCTTTAAATGCTCTAAAAGAGAATGAGTAGCACAATTTAAAAAGTTACACGAAGTTTAAAAAAAGAGAACAAACCTGTTCTTTACCTRTACTTTCAGGGTTTTGTAATTTACAAATAATCCCCTTTTGGAGCAGTCATACTAAGTCTGGATTGGAGTGCATGTCCTGCAAAATGTAAAAACGAAAATATCATTGGAATGAGAAACAGATCTTACCCATTTGCCAATCCAGAAGAGAGTGCAAATAGAAAATATATTGGGTTTGTCATGTAGTCAGAGGCRTTGTGCAACAGATAAAATTCTATACTGCAGTCAAATATTGAGTATTTGTAGCTTATTGTCACTTCAATGTMATTGTCTTCTGATTCTAGAATTTTAGGTCTCGTGTAGACAGCACACAGTAACAACAGAGTCTATTCGGTGGATACATTTATTTTTGTTACAGTCATGGGATTGAAAAAACATCATCTAGCATTTGACTCACTGGAAAAAATATTTTCAAACAAAAAATTAGTTCTTCACAGTACAGAATTATTCATGTTGTTTAAAKACACTTGTGTAAATTGTCATTAACTTCCTTACCCGAATGGTGGTTAAGAAACAGGCTTTTCTTGCAGTATTTTGTTAATTTCTGTTGTGCTGTGGATATGAGGGAATAACCCATGTACAACAGAGTGAATGGTTCCTAAATTATGTGCTGTATGGGTAGTGTCACATGCTATCAGTAATGTAATTTCATTGACTTAAACTTAATAATTTCTTCTTTTTTCATGCTACGGAAGAAAATAAGCCTAGACTTACTGAAATACTATGGTAGTTATTTACATGATGAAACAATTGCCTAGAGAAGTTTGTTGAAAACTTTCAATCAATCTTACTATTTTGGAAGTTCTGGACTCAATAGGTGTTAAAATAATGGTCACTCCTTTGTGGGTTTATRAAGAAAGATGGGTGAATTTGTTCTTTAATGAAGACAAAATGTGTCTGAGCTTTCAAAGTATGGATGAAAATTATTATTTATGGGAAAAAGTTTTGACTGCTGTGAAAGGGAGATTGCACAGAGAGTTCATTCCCTTAATTACTGCTTTATAAAAGTAGTAGCGTTCAGTAAATTATTTAAGTGTGAACATAAAGGAACTATCTTTCAGTTTTGTTCCAGTTCCACTGCCCATTTCTGTCATGGATCTTAATGCCAAAACATTTTGGAACATTGAAATGTTGATGAGGTTAAATGGSTTTTGGTGGTTCAGGAGACTTCACTGACAGATGACTTTCATTTTGGTACAGAAATGACTGTGTTGAAATCTGTGGCCTGCACTATACAAAAAGTCCTAATGCATTATCATCCCCCAATATCCTTTTAATTCCCACTGGGATTAAATAAGTAAATAACAGATCATTACTTTGTCTGTATGTGTGTTTTCTAATTGTAGGTCTGGTGCCCAATGTCACCTGAATTTTACAGAGAATATGTAGCTATCAAAACAAAGAAAAGGATACTGCTCTACACCATGAACCCAAATAAATTCAGAGCCTGTCAGTTCCTGATTAAGTTTCATGAGCGACGGAATGATAAAATCATCGTCTTTGCTGACAATGTGTTTGCACTGAAGGAATATGCAGTCAGACTTGGGAAGTAAGTGTTCACAACCAACAATGGCACCATTGTTTTCCTTCTTCCATGGCAATTTCCTTGCAATCTCACAGCTTTCAGTAGTCTTTGATATTTTTTGGTAATGCTTTAATTCCAGTTCTCCTGCATAAAAAGCTTAGAAGGGTATTTTTGGATGGGCCTTATTGGCACTGCAACATGATTTTGGTGTTTGAAAASAATTTCTGTTTAGAATTTGTTTCAGAAAAGTTTACATCCAGAATTTGTGTGAAAGATTTAGTATTTTTCCAAATTATTATTATCCCATGGAAAAATGAGGGGCTTTTAGAAATATCACTAGAATGGATGGTAGCTTCCCCTGTCTGTCTGAGACAAAGATTTTCAAATATATATGCTCTAGATCTTTCAAAATGTTCTGAAACCCAGGGCCTTCCTCTTYAGGTTCTCAAAACGTTTTCCCCTTGTCTAAAGAAACTAAGACAAGGTTTTTTGGGGTATGTGCTGTACTAGTGCACTACCTAGAACTGCTATAATTGTTTAGTAAACAAAAGGATGTTTCTCCCTAGAGTTCCTCAGTTACCTTAAATGACTGTAACATGAGTGCAGTTATGGGAGGTTGTGCAAACATGCTTTAATGAGGGGTCAGCATCAGTCTGTTGGTAGGATTTGGGGAGGGGTGATCAGGGAGAGTTTGTCAGGATCAGACATAGAGCAATTATTGGGAAACATAAGCATAGAAGCTCGCCTCATCCTTCTTTGACAAGCCCAAATAATGCCTTGCTTGCTGGAAGCTGTGGGGCATTTTGATAGTGTATGATTTYACGTCTAGGAATTTCAGCACTACTCCTTAGCAAAACCACAAACAAGCCTTACACTTTCCAAAATTYGTGATCAGTTCTGACTGCAGTTTAAGGGCCATGTTGTGCTGGCATGCTGTGACATCAAATAGCAAGCAGAGCTAATGGTGCTGGATGAATTCCAACAGCCGTGGTCTCTTTCATAATTTGTTTAATCTGTCTGGACAGAGATTAGCTGTAATGATGCCTCTGGAATGTCTCTAGCAATGTTCAGTGCACCACAGACAAAGCCTTTAGCCCAGGCAATGCYAAGAGCAGGGGATGCTATGGAGCACAGCAGTTGTAAGTGGGGTAGATGCTGTGGAAGTGTGGCAGGAAAACCTGTTAAAGAAATAGAAGGTGCACCCTTTTTTCTGGAGTGAATTCTCTTTCTCGCGTAATTTATGGAGCTCCAGGTTATCCAGCTGTTGCTGTTAGAAAGKAAGCTTGCAGTGCTGGACAAAGGTGAGGGAGCCTTTGTTTTAAGCAGAGAGTTTTSTATCAGTTTGCTGTGAGCAGGCTAAAACAAAGGGAACTGTTGGTTTGTKCAGGGCAGGAATTAGGGGTGTAGAGAAGAGAGCAGCCTGGTTGGTACAGCAGGAGTGCTGTGGCTCTGCCCAGCAGGAGCACAGTTCACACTGCCATTCTCATGGCCTGACGGAAGCCCCCTGTGCGGGGTGGGTGGGCTCCCGGATGGGGGGAGAGGTGGCCACRGTCTGGCTGCCTCTGCTGGCTCCTTCCTTAACCCCCTTGCCCTTGGTRGGGGGGGACCATCAGGGAAATACCATGCACATGACAGGAATTATTTTGACTGCAATTTTTTGGGGCCACAGAACTCAAATTTGCCAGCTTTCACTCTGTCATGGGTCTGTCAGCCACCATTCATGTATATTCATGTATGTGCAATACTAAATGAAAAATTGGATCTTGGTTCCTTGAGTTAGAAATAATGTATGGAAATGTGAACAAAACAGTAATTGGAAAACTTAACTCCTATTGTTGGGAGATGCTTGCTAACCAGCATTTGGAAAAGTAGTGCAACAGATGACAAAGCAGGGATTCTGCTGTCGTGCATGCCATTCACTTTTTATGTGGGCTTTGCTCTTTCTAGATTTTGGTTTTTTAACTTTGCCTAGGCAGGAATAAAACAGCCAAACCCTGGAAAATTCCAAGTAGTCCAAGTTACTCATGAATTCTGTGGGTGACTGAGAGTTTCTATGACCCTTCAGGATTGAGACATTAAATGTTCCATGATATTCATTGTCAAACATTAGAAACCGTAGGTAAAATGCCACTGTGAGCTGCTCATGAAATGTTTGGGGCCTTTTCTCATTTCAGTAGGCCCAGAAGGTATTAGAAGGGGCAAGAGGTTAGCTTTAAAAGCAAAAATAATTTTCCCAGAACAACACCCAGCAGCCCATTTGTGACACCCAGCAAGTCCTTGATAGAGAAGCCTGGATTTTCAAGTATTTAAATAGGAAGCAAAGGTTGCAGCTGTCAATGTGCTAACTCAGTACATTTGAGGAAAAAAAACCTCTTTATTTTAACAGCTGCCTTCAGTCTTTCATGTAGGCTTAGCAAATGTGTTCAGTCTGTTGATATGAAGCTTCATTGGTGCATGTAATTGCAAAACATTTGTAACTGTCAGAATTTCTTTGTGGCTCACTGGGTTGCTGCAGAGGGTTCCACAAACCCCTGGGCAGCTGCCACGAAGAGGCAAACAAGCTAAAAGTAAACTGAAATCTCTACCAAAATCTTGTTTGTTTTCATACCTGCTCAAATGTGTACTGCACTCCCTGCTGTGGTGCCTCATAAGAAATGAGTGAGAAATCTTGAATTTATTTATTTGCATATGTTGTGTTCTTTTCAGACCCTAYATCTATGGTCCTACTGCACAAGGGGAAAGAATGCAAATTCTACAAAACTTCAAGCACAATCCAAAAATCAACACTATTTTCATTTCCAAGGTGAGTGAGAACATTCACTGTCCTTGTGTCTATCTTCAGAGGGAACTTKAACAGTCAGCTGCACATGCATGGTGTACATTTGACATCTTTGTATCGCAGCTGACAAAAAATGCTGTGCTTTGTATTTGGTGTTGGCTGGGGTTGTGTGGAAATAAGAGACTGCTCAGAGGCTGCTGCTCTGTTGCAGGTAGGGGACACGTCCTTCGATCTGCCGGAAGCCAATGTTCTCATTCAGATTTCATCCCATGGTGGGTCRCGAAGGCAGGAGGCTCAAAGACTGGGACGAGTGCTCAGAGCCAAAAAAGGTGAAAGAGGTGGTGGTTGGGCTCTGGGCCTTGGATCGTAGTATCCTAGAGCAACAGAGAAACTGGACGTTCATGAGGTTTCTTCATACCATCCTTGGATTGTGTTTTAGTCAAAGAGAATATACCTATACATCAGTGAATTGAAATGAGCCATCTTCTGGGTCAGTAAACTTAGTGATGASAAAATTTCCAAAGGACAAAACAAGCTGAAAGAAAACTGATTTTTTGTTCTYAGGCAGTTCTTTCACTTTTTCATTCCTTGATATTTTCTTCAAYGTGAAATTGTTTGTAAATAATTATAGAATAAGAAGCAAGCTTCTAGAAATCACATTTTTGGTCCTGCAGATTACTTGCTTTTAAAAACTGGTTTTTGACTTAACGTGTTTTTGTAAAACATGGCCAAAGGAATTACTTTATTTAGAAGAATTATTCTTAAAATATTTTCTACTCRGACTTAAGCTCTGCACACACTTATTTTATGTACAGTTTGTGCTTGTTAGAGGTGAGGTGTTAYTTGAAAATGCAAACAAAACCCATGTTAGTGAATTGACAAAGTCTTAGTGAAACCCTGGATTTTAAAAGAGAACCCTGTTACCAGGGCAACAGACCTAAAGGACATAAGAGTGAAAAAATAAATTATACACAGCCTTGTATATGCTGGTCTTCAGATAGTTCTATGAATTCTTTACTAAGTATCTTTGTCTAGCTTTTTAAATTCAAAACCACTGCAAATTCTAGTATACATGGATAAAACTTCTCTATTTCTGTTGAACCTTTTTGACATGCACTGCAATCCTTGCTCCTGACTTTTTAAGTTTTACTATGTCAAGAAGTGAAAACAATTTTATCTTTCACCTTGCCTAGCAGAATAAAGCAGCAGKTTCTTCTTAGAGCACCTGTGTGATTGTGCTAGTCTATATTTTCTTTTCCGTTTCTGTCTTTTCACCTATCCTTAAGTTATTAGGAACAAAAGTAGGAGTTTCCATGCTGTGTCAGTCACTTTACGCAAGGTCTGGGTGCAGCTAAACAATGCAAAACCACCTGTTTTCAGTATTTATTCATGTGTTGTTTTTTGTTGCAGTGTTCCAAATGGAAAAAATCACTGAGTGCTTTTGTCTCCTAGGCATGGTTGCAGAGGAATACAATGCCTTTTTTTATTCCCTCGTATCCCAAGACACTCAGGAAATGGCATATTCAACAAAACGGCAACGGTTTCTTGTAGATCAAGGTTACAGCTTCAAGGTAACTTGTCCCTTATAGTTATTATGCTTGGGGCCTAAGAATGTAATTTTCATGTTGTATAATGTTAGTATTTAGTCCAGTACTTGAGAATTCCWGTTGTGGAATGCATTAATGAAGGCTTTTCTCACAAGCGAGAACTGCTCCAGTGTTGTGTTATCATCTGTATTATTGTGAGGGYAGATAGAAGTAGCTTTGTACAGCTTCTGGAAAGGTTAAGTGTTGTAATTTCAAACCAKGCACCCTGCAGAGTGAAGTGTGTGTTCTTTCATGGTTGGTTTATGTTTGTGCTGTTCAGTTGTCCCTCTGTGCAGGCCTCCCATTACACATTATCACATGCATAAAGCTTGGTGCTCTTGTCAGAGTGGGCAGCAGCAATTTAGACAACTTGMAAAACTTAAGAAATGACAAATTTCCAAAGACCTTCAGTCTCGGACTAGTATTTCTTTGTGTCATCTTCTTCCAAACATAATATCTCATTTCACCAAAGCTCCTCTGTTTTATAGATTCCATGGTGTATCTCATTTATTTTTCTATTAATGCATGGACTGCCCCATATGCTCACTGTTAGGCTGTTAAAGGCAGCAAAGGTCATGGTAGCTCTTGGGTTTAGGTAAATTATTCCTTTACAAAACTGAGGCTCACTGCTCTGATTAGAAGTCTTCCGAGTGAGTATTGCTGAGAAGAATAAAATTAAAGCCCTTACATCTGGCTGTTCAAGAGCTTGTCTCTATCGGGCACCAGTACCCGACATCCCCCTGAAATGCTGGGCTGGAGTAAATCACTGTTTGGAAAGAGCAGCCCATTGAAGAGTGCTCTAGAAACAGACATGTCACAATCTTTAGAGGTGAAAACCTTGTTCTCCTTTGTAGTGAATGTGTTTCAACAAAGTTGTAGATTAGTGCTTAGCTGCAACTAATTACAGTACATGCATCTATGCARYTATAGCCAAGATTAGAGCAATCCCTTTACTTTTATTTGAATGCCTTGGATTCTAGAACTAAGAAAGAGGTTAAAAATAAAAGGATTTCATTTTGCAAGGAAGGAGCTCCTAGTCCATGGAGCTTTGGTGTAATGTGGGACAAAAGCAGTTCAAGTGGCCAGCTGAGTGTCTGGGGCAACATTTTTGCTGACCAGTACTGGAATGTTCTTTATTTGCAGATGAGAAGCAAAACATTAGAATATCTATTTTCTTCTGTTTGCCAAACTTAGTCATAGCTGGCATCAAAGAATAATAGGGCTGAAAGAAACTTCAAAAAAAACACATCTATTGTGTTTCTTCATTCCAAGCAAGGATGAACTATGTGTATATCATTCCCAGCAGATGTCTGCCTTCTTAGTCTTCCAAATAGGGAGACTCTACCTCTTCTTTGGGTAATTATTTCAATGCTAATGTCCTCTCCTTCAGAATTTATGCTCCTAAATAACTAAAAATTCATTACTACTTTAGAGGGGCAACACTTTTTGTCTAGGAGTTACTTTCTTCTTGCCATCTATCAATAGCTCTATTTATCGTTCATCAAAAAGAGAACTGGAGTAATAGYTTTTTGCTAAAACTACGTATCTTATCTTTGCTTCTTAAATATCAGCCTTAGTACAATTTACTSCTTACAGGATACTACTAGCTGGTACTTTTGGTTAGCTAACCAGTTCCCTCTGCTATACTGTGTTTTTGTTTAGAAGCCAAATGTAGGATATACTAAATTTTAAACCAGTAGCAGAAGAACTCTGTATATTAAAAATATGGTTAACTTTAAACAGGGCATCARTTGGACAGCTTAAGAGATGATGCATTGGGAATTCTTTCCATTCYATGAATCATGCTAGCGCTGTTTTGCAATCAGAGCTGGAAACAGGCACATGCAATTTAAAATAGATTTTTTGTGACTCTGTTTTTCTTTATTTGTGAGATGACCATAGCACATATCCTCCTAAATAAACATGGAGAACCTTAATGTTCCTTTAGCTATGTAGGAAAGATTGCTTCCATGAATGGATTCTTCAGGCTCAGACATTTCTCAGGAAAACATCCCTCTTCGAATTAGAAATTGCCAYGAATAATAACCCACAGTACTCATTATTCATTYCAGTGTTTCCCTACCCCATTTTTTTAAAAACAGTACTTGGCAGCTAATATGGATTTGTTTTACCTTAAACTTTATTTACAGTGGTTTTGTGATCTGCTGCAGCCCAGACTGCTAATTAGTTTCTACAGGTATTGACTCAAGAGGCAGAAAAGATGAGGAGGGGGGAACACTACATTATCAATAGCTGAATTGGAATGTCTTTCTCAAAACAGTGTCGAGTTTGGAACAGTGGGAAAACTGATTGTTATGTATAAAYATATGCTTACAGATGCATGTAACTACAGGGAAATTGCTTGTGAAATTTTCAAAATACCTCTAGTTAAGAAAGTAAGCTGCCTATTCCAAAGCTTTATAACAGAAGCTTGAGATCTTTTCAGTTCTTCAGAAGAGGACCCTTGTCAGCTGATGGACAGAGCCCATGGCTCTACATTGCCAGTAGGTCACACGAGAATTCCCAGGAGAAYAAACCTAACTGAAGTTATATCCAGTGTCTAAGTACTCAAAGGGTGGAGGAGTTCTTTTGCTCTGCCTCTGACGCTCTGTTGCAGGTTGCTGCACTGTCTCTCAACAGCTATACATCTCAACGTGTTTGGGTTTTTCCCCCCACTTCTTGAATGCTTCTTGCTAAAATTCTCCGTATCTGCAGAGCTAATGCATTAATTTTGTTAAGTATAGAGTACTAATTCTTAAATTAGACAAATCTAGAGCCTGCAGCATGACACTATCCATGCAGTAAGTTGAATATATATCTGAGCTATGTGTGCTTTGGTCAGGTTCTTGGTCAAGCTGGTATAAAACARCATTGTCATCCTCTGCCCAGAGCTTTCCTTTCTTCTTTTCATTTTCTTTCCACCCAGGGTTTGTCTTTGGCATTTTCATCTAGAATATAGTGAGAGATGAGTGTATGTATATGTGCATCACTTAGCAAGATTTTATATGTATCTGTGCTGTCTCTAGTGTGAAGTTGTTCCAGCCATTAATAAAAGTTGAAGGCAGTTCCAAATGGATATGRAATCAGAAATCCTTGTCTCAGTTTTCAATATCTAACAATGAGGAGGAAGAGCCCTCACCTTGTGGTGTGCTCTGTTTCTTAGGTAATCACAAAGCTGGCAGGCATGGAAGAAGAAGAACTTTCATTTTCAACCAAAGAAGAACAGCAACAGCTTCTCCAGAAAGTCCTGCAAGCATCTGACCTGGATGCTGAGGAGGAAGTGGTTGCTGGAGAATTTGGTTCAAAGTCAGCTCAGGTAATGAAGAATTCCTTGAAAGAGATGACCACAGGTGGGACAGAAGTGGACCATTTCACTTCCATCCAGTTCTAAATGTGATGTTGTAATTGATAATCTGGTATCTTTGTGAAACACTAGAGAACAGATTTTTTTTTTAATCTGCATTAGCCTTTAGCTATTGGAATAATTCACTTGTTGGGCACTTGGAAGAAATTAGACATGAAATTCATGTTGTTCTCCATCATATTTGAAGGAGAAGGTACCATCTATGATTACAGATTTGAAGTAAATCTTCTAAGTCACATGCAGTGAAAATACTTTTGAAACCTCTGATCACACACTACTGCACTTGTACTTGCAGGTGTCCCGTCGCACAGGCACCATGAGCTCCATGTCRGGAGCAGATGATACAGTGTACATGGAATACCACTCATCACGGAGCAAGGCATCTACAAACAAACACATCCACCCCCTGTTCAAACGCTTCCGCAAGTGACATCCTTCACTCGGGCGTTGTGTTGAAATTGTGGATCCATATCTTGTGTATGTAACTGAAAAGATGGAGTTGAAATTTATGACCTTTATGGTCCTTTAAAGGACGTTTTTTATGCATCTGTATAGCTACATGTTTACTTACCAATGTATGTGCTCTCATAGATGAATGGGAAAGCAAAGAAGGAACTAAATCCTACCATGGAAATATTTTTAAAGACTTCAAGATACAAGTATGTCACAGCACATACTTTTTTGTGTGCTCATTGTATTATGCCCTCATTTCCTCATGCCCAGAGGGCAGAAGCATACAGGCCACTTTGTTCAAGAGAAGTACTTGTCTGGTTTTCAGGGTAATTAATAGATTTTATTTTTATCAGCTGAAGATCCTTTTTTYAGAAGAGTCATGAAAAGGTTTTGTAAATGAAGTTTGTACTGATGTTTGAAATATTATTTATCTGATTATTGTGACTGCTCAACAATATACTGTTTTTCAAACTGCTTAAATAAAATCATTCAGTGAGCTGAACAAATCCCAAGAGGAGCACTTTACATTATATTTTTTAACTGAGAGCTAATTTATACTTGTGACTTGACCTGTATCAAAAGTCTAACGAATTGGTCAGAAATATTTTAGAGTTTGAAGGCAAGAGGAAAGAGGGACTCCATCTCCAAAGCATACTCAAGGAAAGCATTAGTAGTAAATACAAATAAATTCTGTGCTTGTTTTCCTCATTTTTCTTGCTACTGTTGAGAAGTTGCTCAAATAAAAGCTGTTTCTCTTGTTATTTATATCCTATTTATTAACCATGCAATAAAACCTTCGTAACGGCTAAACAGTGCAGTGTCACCACAGAAGTTATTACTGAATCAAAAAGCATTTTGCTTCTCACAAGATCAGTTGGAAGAATGTGTGAAGAAAATATTCCTAAGTTTGTTTTTTTTTTAATATAGACTGCAGTATAATTCTAGAAAATTGTAGGAGAAAGGGTTGGTGGTTTGTGGGAGGAGAATGCTTTTTAAATCTGCTTAATAATGTAAYGCTTTTGCTACTTGGTGTTGTATTATAAGGTGTTATTTCGCTGATTGTAGAACTATTGGAACAACCTCTGTTGGTTCAAAATAGTTCGGTAYAAATCTTTACTGTACTGGAAGGAGCATGTATGGTACAGCTGTCCTGATTATATGACAAATGTGCTTCAGAAGAACACTGAATTCTGTTTCTTATTGGCATGAATTCACAAATTGGGAATGTAGAAATATTGGAAGCATAATTGAAAACAGATGGTGCTTGGTTTTGGTCTCTGTATGAGAATCAGGTAATTTTTAAAAAGTGAACTGATCTGCTTCAGTTTAAACTTTGTTTAGGCTCTGAGCCTTACCCTGTAACACTTGGTTGTTTCTCTTGTGCTGAGTMTTCTGCCTCACAACCTGGAACCAGCCGTTGCAGTGCTTGAGTGGCTATTATAGAAGAGATAATTGTGCAGTATTCTGTTGCTGATTTCCTCTGCAGATAAAACCACTATTCTGATAGCAGTTTGGAACARTTCTAATGGCAAGTTAGTAGCAAAGTGGTAATTTAGTATAATGGGAGAGGCCTGTGACAGGTTTAGCTGAGCAAGTCAGGCAGTCTGTGTCCCTCTCCATAATTCTCTCATAAAAAGCTGTATTAATTGCTTTGGAACTATTCTCCACCTTTCATAACTTGAAAAAAAACCTCAACAATCTACTAAATGCAAAAGGCTTAATACTGATGTCTGTAATTGTGGAATTACTGGTAGTAGCCGCCTGTAGGACAGCACTCTAGATCTTGTGTAGTAAATCATGACTAATGATCTCACTCTTCTGAGTAATGTCTCTGTGTGGGATGCAGTACATTCAGCATCARGTAAAGCATAATAACTTTACGAGGTATGAATGACTCCGTGCATCAGTGATAGCATCTTGGTATTCAAACTTCAGAATTCATTACTTTGATATGATTAAGTGTGGTAATTACTGCCTGGTGTTACTGTAGGCTGTAGCGGAGTGGCAGAGTGGTGTGCATTTACTCAGTACAGCTRAGTACCATAACAGGGTCAGTCAGTTCTGCTTTCTGGGCAGGTTGGTCACTGAGGAACTGCTGGCTCCTGGGGTTTCTGTCCTGCTAGCCCCTCACTACCCCTGCACTCTGGCAGTGCACCCAAGGGTCACAACAGACTGCCCCAGATCTGTAACCCCAGCCCTCTAGGAAACTAAATTGTTCACAGAAAAACAGATAGTGTGGCAGAACTGTGATGCAGATTGTGAGTGATGCCAGAGGTAGATGAACTCTGGGGTAAGTAAATTATTTCTTGGAAGTCGGAGGATAGAGGAGGTGTAATTTTCTTGGATGTAATTCAGGTTTCCTGCTGGAAGAAAGGCCTTTACTCTGTTCCCTGGCCACCTCCTTGGTCTGAATTCCATATTGAGGAGAMTAAATCTCCCTCAGAAATTGCCTTTTTTTAATAGTTGCTGGTTTTGTTTCTGATAGGCTATAGTACTGAAACTTGTATTTATGTGCCCTTCATTCTTCTGGCAAATGACCAAGTGTCTGCATGAGGATGTTAATGCTTGAAGGCTACTGCTCTTACTCATTAAAATGCCCTTCTAGACTAAAAGGGCACAGTGATGATGAGATGGCAATTTGACAGCATTACAGCTCATCAAAGCAAAAATTATGACTGCCTGTATGGCTTTTTGAGTGAAAAGATGTTTTAAACCACACTGAAAAATTTTGCTTACATTTCTGACGTTGCAGCCCTTTTTTCAACTTTTCTCTGCAAATGTTCTGAAGAGCCTATCTGTGCAGTCTTAGCTGAAGGTGTTACCTGGACAAAGTTAGATCAAATCTCTTTTACTTCCATAAATTATAAATGATTATGCCTGTAGCTATTTAAACATACAGTACAATATTTATTATACTGGATACCATAAAGTGATGTTAAAATAATTACAGACCAGATATAGCCAAGACTGTTAAAAGATGAGAATAATTGTAAGAAAACAGAATTCCTGGTGAGATGATAATGTAACCATTGATTCTGAATACCAATGTTATTGACACAAAGAGCTTCRACTGAACTTTGTCAGAGTTCATGCAAAAAGGAGGGCAAGTTYAAATTGGATTTAGAAACACCTAAACAAAGGTAACAAAGTACAGTTAATTAGACCATTAGGGGGTCTAGACGGAGAGAACAGCAGGACTGCAGATTTGAAGACAAATTAKCCAAAAATAATACATAATCTAAATTATCAATAAACCAAGTTTAGTTTATACTGTGATCCCATTACATACYGAAAGTTAACTAAAACTGAAGCATGTCTGCTGTGAAGGGGCATGTGTTCCAACTTGTTTGAAATAACAAAAGTCCCAACTGACTTGTTACATAAAACATTTTCAGGCTCCAAGGACCAACAGGCTGGGGCAAACATCATTGTTTAAACTTAAAGAACTCAGAGTGTGTTTCCGAGTCAGTGTTGTCTGACAAATATATATACTGAAAGGTTGTACAAGTAGGAGAAAATATTTATCTTCTAAGTCACATAAATGTGTTTTGGTTGGCTTGTGCTGATGGCCTAACTCCTCCCTCCTTTATGGTTTGGTGGTTTTATGCAGATTGGAAGGAGGTTTTTATAATGGCTGCTTATACTCACCGTTATTCCTGGGAATTCTGTGGCACTACTGCTGGACTTCTTTTAGCTGAAAYGAGTCTATGCTCATATTTGGGAGGAAAATGGGATCACACAATGCCAACCTGTCCACCACTTTGGGTTCCCTCTAAACATTTCACCCTCTGCTGCTCTTTCAAATTTTTGTTGGCTCTTTTTTACTCTTCTGTTCTCTTTTTCAAGTCTATTCTAGGAAACTTATTTCAGTTTCATCCATCTCTTGTAACAWAAAGTTTTTGTTTACTCCTAAAGTTGACTATTGAACATTCTGCAGTGTAGAAGTTTGACATACATAGATTCTGGTGTAGTAAGGATGTGAAGTGTCAGTAAAGCAGGAATGTTAGTGGCTAAAAYTCCAATTTGAAAGTCAAACAGAACCACACAATTATGATCTGGCACAGCAAAGAGAAGTGAATGGTTTAATTACACATTCTGTATTGTGGTAGCCCACATGTATTCACTCACATTCATAAGCATTCCCTTAMTGTATTCAGCTATTGAACCACCTTACAATTTGGCTGTTGTTGTCTTGAGTATTCTTTTTGTTCACTTTATCTAGAAAAAGAAACTTGGATCTGCACTGATGGGTTGCTATGGTACTATTGATAATAATTGTAGAGCAGTATTTTAATGGTGCTCCAGAGCCTGCATCTATTAGTAGCTCCGAATTTCTACTCCATCTAGCAAACTGCCTAAAAGTATCTATTATTTATAAACACATTTTCAGCCTACCAGTCAGCAGACCTAGCTCTTGTCCACTACCTGCACTACGTAAAAATTGTTCCTGTGGATGCCAATCCACTCATCTCCTTTTGTGCAAGGAAGATGCTCTACACAGATTTGCATAATGGCACCTTTACACCCCTTTAAATTCTTCCTCTGTTATATCAAAGGAATTTGGCAATTTTCATCATTAATGCCTTGTTATTTTGTACTTTCTTAATTTATTTCTTTCTGTTACACTCAGCTATTGCCTATAATGTACTCATGAAATTCTTCAAGATGGCATGGTTTTGGCTTTGCTTATAAAACATTGTTGGCTCTTTGTAATAAAATTATAAGATGGTAAGTAGCAATAGAGGTGTCTCACAGATGCTTCTGGGTCAGGACTCTTTCTAAATGGCACATTCCACTCTTTCTTTAAAAGTAAACCAAGTATAAAATCCTATTCAAAGTAAATTTTGTGTGTTGGGGTTGTTTTTTGGGATTTTTTTTTTTGGTGGAGAGTTTTTTTTAGTGTTTTTCCATAACATTTTTCTTTTTTTTTACAATAATAAATATTTGCATATGACTAATGAAATAAACGGCTTTAGACTTTACCCTGCTGAGTGCCATATTAAAACYCAACAGCAATCTATCCAGACAGTAGAGAACGCATCCAGTTCCTCAGGAGTCATAGCACAATGGATTGCTGGAATCTTTTCATGAATTTGGCTCTACTGTGACTGTATAAGCTGCACATATAGACTTGATAGCCAGTAACCACAGAATGTTTGACTGGTATTAAAAATTTGCTGAGGTTTGCCAGTAATGAGATCTGAATGCAACTTTTATGTGCTACACCAGGTGAACTCCCCGTTTCACTGAAATTGCAGACTCTGAGTGTTTACATGCTGGTTTTTTGGTTTTTTTTTTTTTCAAATGGGGTCTGTTTCAGACCATTTCACTGCAAACAACCCAAAATCTAACAAAAAGTAAGCTGACAAGACAGCTGAGTACAGGTGAGGTTATATAACACAATTCCTATGCTGGGACTACTGCCACCTCCAGAAAATCCTCAGGGAAAGCAGGTACTGTTCTGGTGAAGGGCTTGAAGGATATAACTTCTGAAGTTCTTTCAAGTATCCTGGCTAGAAACAGAATGTCCTACAATGATTTTCATAGAAAAGAGGTAACAGTGGGAAAAGAATTCCAAACATGGAAACTGGAAAAAGGTACACTCAGAGAAAGCTACTACCAGTTGCAAAACTGTAAGTGTTACAGAATAATGTCTCTATCTCACTAGCATATTAATATCAGCAGATGCCTTACCTTAACCATGTATGACTTCAAACTAAAAAACAGAATCAACCATACTGATACCTGGGAGCAGGAGTTTCTAGGAAGGGTGCACGTATTCCCTCCAGCAATCTAGAAATTACAATATTAATATAGTTTTAAAATCCGTGTAACTGTCGCACAGCATCTTTAGATAAATTTCAAAGAAATAATGCAGCTACACTACACAGAAACATAGGAAGGAAAACTTCAGAGATACCCTGATGATATTCTCAAAGCTGTTGTTACAAAGTCCATGACAGCAAGCACGAAACAYCCTGCAAAGCCTTGGCTATTGGAAATATGAGGTACCAGGGCTACCTGAAAAGTAACCAAAAAACCTCTAGCTGCAAACTAAGCCAACCCTTCTTTCTTCTCTCTCTGATGTGCACCTTTTTTTTAAACAAAAGATGTAAACATCTGTAGGCTGTTGTCATGGCTGTGGTAGTCATCTTTCCCAGAAGAAATAAGTCTCTCAATTTTCTTATGTAATTTTCTAAAACCTTCTTTTTTCCCCTATGTTGCTTTTCTCTGGACCTTTTAAAGTCTGATGAAGTCAATTTCAAAGACGTGATTTTAGCTTAAACCAGCACATACTTTAACAGATTTTATTCCTGTAATATTTACTACTGTATCTATAAAGACTGATGGGCCTGTCCAACTTCAGACTTGTTTTAGTGGAGTGATCAGTGCCAAAAGTAACCATGTACACAGATCTTAGCTGGAATACAGCCTAAAATATGTAAGTGAAGATAAATAAGGAAAACAAAACCTATAAACTTTGAAGCCTACTAGACTTACTTTTCTAGCAATTTATTCATAATTTTGTTTTGGAAATGTGGATCTCCCTTGACTTCCCTTCAGCCTCAAGTTTTGTCTGATCATCTGATTCTGATTCACTTAAAAACCAAGGTAGTTTCTTCCACGWAATTTCTGAAACTAATCAACATTTTACACGTTTTCACTAGGACCTTCGGAATGATACAGAAACACATATGAAAACAACAAAAATACTTTTTAAACTGTGCAGACTTCTACAAAAATTGGCACAAGCTGCTTATGGATTATGTCCTGTCCAAAAGATACATTATTCCCAATACAAATAGCATCCCTGACTATTGTAATTTAACAGAAATTATTTGTAAGGTTACTCTGTAAGATCAGTGCTACTTCCATGTGGATGCACCAATGTTTTTTAACATGTTATAGGATAATGAACGGTTCTAAGATAACTTCTTGCACAAAATACCCTACTTTCTAACACAGGGAAATGAATTAATGCCACAGAAAAAAAATAGGCCTAATCCTGCCTTTTTAATGTAGGAGAAAGATGAGGTGAACTTTTCACCAAACTAATGGATGAAAGAGGCAAAAACTGAACTTTGGCTGCATGTATAATGGGTAAATTTATCTGATTTGAATTATACAAAATAATAGGTTCGTTCTATTCAAGTCTCATCCCAGACCCACCCCCCTTTTCCAGCCCTAGGGGAGGGAGCGTTAAATAATGGTCTGTGTAAACTGATGCTCATGCAGTAAGAGTTTGGAGAAGTGCTGCTTGTACAAGTTAAAGCAGGCACTGAAAAAAGAGCAACCAAATAAAAAGCAGCTGCAGGAGCAAAGTGGACCCTTCTGAAATTAAAAGACATGTCTTTCTTCACCAGAGTTTTGACGCTGAAATGCAAGCAGACACTTGAATGTGAGAGGACTTACTTTTACCAGGCGCTTTTTGCCAGCAGCAGGTTTCCCGGGCTGCCCCGGCTGTGCAGCAGCCAGTCCCTGGAGGTGCGGAGCAGCCCGCGGGCAGCGGCGGGGAACAAAGGCGAGGGGCGCGGAGCGGAGCTGCTGGAGCCCCCCCCGCGCCGCCTGGGCAGGGTGAAGAGCCTGCACGAAATGCCCGGACCCAACACYCTCTACAACCTCTACGAGTTCTTCTGGAAGGACGGCTTCGGCCGCATTCACGAAATCCAGGTACAGCTCACTCGGCTACTTAATGCTTTAATCACGCCAGGATTACTTCAACCTCTCCTTTCCTTTCCACCCCTCGTAAAGCGCTGGTGAATCGCCGGGTTTGCAGCACCGCTGCTGGGCATCGCCGCGCCGCCTTCCCGCTGGCGAGAGCTGGGATTCAGGGCACCCCCCACTCCAATTCCCGCAGCACCGGCGGCTTCGGCAGTTTTGTTTCGCGGAGGATCCCACGATCCCGGCTCCCGTGCCCCGGTGCCCGCCAGCGCTCCCCGCATATCTTTGTGCGCGTTTTGAACTGCTGGGGAGGTGCCTTCGGCTGAAATGAAAATTTTTTTAAAGTACCATTTTTTTTTTTTAACTGAGCTGTTTCACAAGCTTGCAGAGGGCTTATTTTTGGCGGGCAGGGCTGCGAAGCGTGGGCTCCCTTGGAATCTTGGAGCGCAGCACCACCCGTGCGGTGAGGCTGTGCTGGCACCCGGGCCCCCCCAGCCCTTCCGCGGCTGAGGCGCCACCGCCGCTGCCCTTCCCTYGGCCCGGCCGCTCCGCTGTGTTCAGAGACCATTTTGTCTCTCCTCCCCCGGCCTCCCCTTACATAAATACACTGCCTATATCGGTCCCCCGAGGGGGCGGTAGATGCGCCTGGCCCCGCTGCCGTCAGCGCCGGCCGGCCCCCGGCGGCCGCCCCCGTCCCTTCAGCAGGAGGCGGGCGGTTTGAATGCTCCCGGGGGGGTGAGGGACGGGGCCGGGCATGGCGGCGACGGGGGCGTCAGGGACGGGGCCGGGCATGGCGGCGACTGGCGCTGCTGGCCCTGCCGCCCCCTCTCCGGCCGCCACATTGCGCGGGGGAGGGGAGCGGGTGGCGGGAAGCGGGGCCGGATGGCGGCGTGAGGGGAGGGGAGGGGAGGAGGGAGGGCGGAGAGCGGCTCCTGTCACCTGGCGTGTGGCGGTGCCCGAGCGGGGGGAGGCGGCCGAGCGAACCAGAGCCCAGGTGGGGCTTGAGAGGTGTCCTGTGTCCCCTCCCCCGGGCGCACCTGGTGAGGGAGGCTGAGGCGCCCTGTCCCTGCGTGGCACAGCGGGAGYTGGGTGCACCGGGATCCCCTTCCTCTGTGCAGCGCCTCGGGGATGCTGGCATGGGCAGCGCTCTTACCGTAAGGCTGTCGCTTTCCAGAGATAAATTCTTTGCGTTGCTTGGCCAAACGTGGGTTTCATTCCTTCAAAACTCACAGTGCGTCTCCTCGGGCCTTTTCCCCGTGTAGTCCAAGCGACTCTAAAGGAAGCGCTTGTGTATAAGAAAGTAAAGCTGTGTATTTCACCCTTTTGCAGCTTTCTGCCGGCGATACAGATCTAGTTGGGAATACCTCAAATGGAGCATTTATTAGTTTGCTTTTCTTAGTGACCTTTCCCAAATTGCTAGGAAGAAAWTCACAGTCAGCCCCAAGAGGTTCGCTGCCTGAAAATTACTGAAATTTSAGGGGAAAATAAGAGTGAAAGGGAAATAAAAATAGAAAAGGAAAACCAAAGCAAGCAGAACTTTAAATGGCTTGAGAACCAAAACTCAGAAGGTTTTTTTGCAAGATTCACAAAGGGCCTAAAAACACCAGAAAGAGGCAGGAAACAGAGAAAAAAAGGAATCACATAAGTTGCTCGGTTTTGTCCAGCTTTGTCATATCTACCATTTAGATTTTTAAGAATAAATCTTGGGTTGTATGCTGTGTTCCATGGCAGTCAAACTAGATTGCTAATGATGAATTGCYCAGCTTGATTGCTTGCTAACCAAGACACATGCAGTTCAAATCTGAAGACAATGAAAGCTTTTTGTTTCCTTCTCTTTCTTTTTTCCTCTAACTCTGTGGTGATGTACATAATTTGAGAGGTAGTCATCATAGTATCATATCACTAAAAAGGATGCTACCATTGGTTTCAAGTTCTTTCACTGTTAAAACACTGAATACGATTAAAAGGAATATAAGACATCCTAAATAGTATATGCTTTTCACTAGCTGATACKGGTATTTTCTTGTTTAGTGAATATTATTCCTAGAAAGGAAGGTGTGAGGAAGGATAAGGAGAAGTTGCACTATAATAYAGTTTTTGTTCTGCTTAGAGTCTCAAAAATCACAGGATGCCCTCTTTGCATACACGTAGAATGCAAGTAGGCATTAACTGGATTAATAACAGTCTGTTCAATTTAACAACACAGTGAGCATCAGGAATGAATTAATCCCAAACCCTTTGGTAACCAGCACAGCTACTTAAATGATGTCCTTTGGCACACACAAATATTTGTGTGCTATATGCAGAAGGGGTGGGGAAGCCGAGRGCTTTTTCACAAAGGAGGTTCTGTTCTCAGTAACATGATTCCAGTTAGTCCTGGCCAAAGTAGTAATGCCTACAGCAATTATGACAAAGGGAAAGTATTTTTAATTTGRCGGGGTTAGATCTCTTTAGTCTCATCAATGCTGTGCAAGGATAAAGAAAAGAAAGGTGAGGAGGGAGGGATTTGGATGCTGGCAGTGTGAATTTATGGTATATGAAAGAATGACTGGTGTGAGAGTGGTATGSGAGGAGCTATAGTGGAACATTTTCAAGGAAAAGAAAAACCTATGTTGTGATCTGAAGGGATGTGTTTTTAAGTGCACCAGGTCCTTTCATCTTCTCAGTGTTTGGTTTCTCTCGCACCCTTTGCCTTACAGCTTTGGGTCTTTTCAGTCAGGGGTCCTGAACTGTGTGACCTCTCTGTTTTCTTTGTGAATATTTCACAGTAATTCTTAGATGCTTTCTCCTGACATTTGAAACKGTTCCTTGACCAGAAGACTGGGGATCAAATTCTAGATATGAGAGATTGTGTATGGCAAATTGTTAATTTCCTTTTGTGATAGTTTTCCWTAGTAATACTTGACTTCTGTTTCTTTTTGTTGGTGACGCTGAAGCAAAAACACACTCAGGAATATGGAAAGATCTTCAAGTCTCACTTTGGTCCCCAGTTTGTTGTATCCATTGCAGATCGAGACATGGTTGCTCAAGTCCTCCGAGCAGAAGGCAGAGCACCACAAAGAGCCAACATGGAATCCTGGCAGGAGTACAGAGATTTACGGGGGAGAGCCACAGGGCTCATTTCTGCGTAAGTGTTGTTGCTCCTTCACTCGCCTTGTTTTCTTAGTGATTTTCTAGAGAACCGTACAGGTCATCTGGGAAATCAGGCTTCCCTGTGWGGGGAAATCTGTGTGTCTAGTGGGGGGGAAGGGAGAGTAGGTATTTGTGGTGAATGCAGTGAATTTGTTCTGTGAAGTTTCGAAGGATTGGTAATGATGTGTAGTTGAATGTGTAGTGAGATACTTTTTGTGAAGACATTCTTTGGGAATGTGTATCAACTGGAGTTGTCTGGGCTGACTCACTCACCTGAAAGCAGTTTGCAGARTAGAGCCTACCAGCTTGGGCACTGCACTGCATGAATGTGGGTTTATTGCATCAGTTCTAGACTCTTCCATATGGTTGGCAGTGTGCTGTGCGGAATTGTTAGCTCAGATTGGTTTTTGCTTTATTGTTCACCGAAGTGCCCCCTCAGTAGACTAATGCAGAGAAGTCACAGTATGGTCACTTCACACTGTAGTGCATCCTCACACAGAGATTTTTGAATCTGGCTGATTCCAGAGGAGTTATCTGTCTGTACAGCTTGCATAACCTGGCAGCGCATGTGGGTGTGGTTAATTGCCACTGGGAACTACTCACAGTCCCCACTGACATAGCATGTTTATTTAGAGGGAAGCTAATTTCCTGAGTCATGGACAGTCAGTTTTTCATGGTAGCAGAAGGCTTTATTGCGCTGCAGATTCAAATGTTAAGCTGCAGTTTCGACTCAAAGGAACAGTTCCTTGATACTTAGTGATAAGCAATCTTAAATCAGGAGATAGTCAGGAAATACCTGTTAAATACCTGTTAAAGGGATCAAATGCTTCTGCTGGCCAGTAAGTTTCTGTGCCTTGCAGCGACATTGCTCCAGGTGAAAAAGCAGTGAGAAATACATAACAATAAAAAATAAACACATAAAGGATAATTGTCCATTTTCACAAGTAATTGAAATGTATCCCTTGAACAGCTGTTCCCAAATACTCTGCTCATATGGAGCATGCAGGTGCTACAATTCAGATTTTTAGTCTTCAGCACAAAGGTTYCCATGCAGAGCTCAGCTAAAGGAGAATCTCTAGTTGCAAGTTGTTCCAYTGTAGGTAGAGCTGTTCTCTTATTACTTTGTAGGTTTAGATTTAGGGTGGTTGAAAGTGATCAGTAATGGAATTTATGGTACCAGCTCAGGTTGTTGTTTTGTCAGACCTGAATRTGATACCTTTATTTGGTAATGAACTACTTGTTCTGTATAAAAGCAGTTTTGCAGACTAACCATTCAAATATTTATTTAAAGTAATTTTAATAGAATATTTTACTAATTTTTTTGTGTTAGCTACTACTAGCAGACTAATACAGGGACACTTGTCAAATTCAGAACACTGAGTGGACAAGTTCTGTCACTCAACCCAGAGGTTGAGTACATACATGTTGCAGCACTGAAATTTAGTGAGGATGTGTAATAAATACAGAATAAAATTGTAGGAGCATAATACAAAATATGCATTATCAACATTTTCATTTTACCACTTGCTTTCATTTGGCATGATATATCATAGTTTGGTTGCAGACCTCTTACCCAGCTGATGATTATTAAGGAAAACTGTGTATAGACATTATAAATAATTTCTTCTAGGGAGGGGGAGCAATGGCTAAAAATGAGAAGTGTACTGAGACAAAAAATTCTGAAACCCAAAGATGTGGCTGTTTACTCTGAAGGAGTCAATGAAGTTATCACAGATTTAATTAAAAGAATCCACACCCTCAGAAGTCAAGAGGAGGATGGGGAAACAGTGACCAATGTTAACAACCTTTTCTTCAAGTATTCAATGGAAGGTAAGCCCAGACTTAATCACACCTGTAAAGAAAATGGATGTATCTGTCAAATGACTGTGCCCCGTTGTGATTAATCTGAAAAGGGAAGTTTGATATTCTGCATTCCTGTGTCTTCCTAGTCAGTGCAGTGAGTATCAATAGAATTCCTTTGTAGAGTCCAAAGACCTGATACCTTGTATTAGGGGGCAATTCCATGGAAATGCTGATGTATAGGTAAAATGTTCAATTAAGGCCTTGACTGAACTCCATATTTCTGTATTAGTTTCTCAAGAGTAAGGGTATTGACCTTGTAACAGGTGACTTATAAGATGTAATTTTGCAATATACCAGCCAAATTCCARTGGGGAATGCCCATGTGATGTATCTTAATTCAGTTCATAGCTTAATGTGGGAAAGGATACTAAAGATACTGCTTTTCGCTGCCTACACATGCRAAGTGTGGGATTGTTATGCTTGCTTAAGATCATCTGCCACTGGCTACCCMTTAATGAGGGAATGCTGAATGGAACTCTGGCCTGAGCCTGTGTGGCATTTCCTGTGTTCTTACAGAAATCTCATGGTGATACGTATTTCATGCATTTCTTTAACTGAATGTACAACCCCATCTTGTTACAAGWAATGCCTTTTAAAAACATTGTTACTCTTTGCTGACAGGCAGCTGAGTAATTTGGGATTTGAAGAATTTCCAAATTGCTCACTTACGAAGRTGCTGTATCAAATTGCTGCCTGCCTGCTTGGTCTGTTTCACATTAATAGTGTCTCAAAATGGCATTAAACTACCAGTTTATGGAATTTTAAACTGTGAGTTTACAGATTCAATTTAACTGATGGGTTAGTTTAAATTCTTCAGATTCTTTTAGTTTTTAATTTATAACTTGTGCCTGGCACACACTTATTTTCTATATGAATGGCTGTTTATTTAACTTAATAAACTGTTCAGGGAACCCATGTGTAAGATCTCTTTGAAAAGACCATGTAAACAGCAAGAGGATGTGTAAGAGCTAGCAGTTTCTGAAAGAGTCACAAAAGAAATAAAAGGCATAGAAAAATATCTTCCCAGGGAGGAAAATTAGGGTAGTAAGAGTGAGTTGAAAATAACCAAACTTTAAAATTATTTTTTGTCAGTAAAGATAATTTCTAGTAGGGGTGTCTACAGTACTGCAGGAAAACGTGGGGAAATTACGGCAAGTCAGAGCAAGAGACAGTCAACACTGTCACTTGCAACMGTGTCACACTTGCTGATTTTCAGGGTGGGGGGTGGGGTATGGTGTGTACTGTCTGGAGTGCAAGCTTTTTATCCATTTCTAAGACTCAGTATTCATTTGTTACCAGCTGATGACAGACACAGCCACTGCTAGAAACTCCTGCGTTGTCACCAGTTATCAGAAATGTCTTTGGGTTTGTGTGTCCCTGTGGCTTCAGAGGCCAACAGGGCAGGCTCAGGGTTCRTAGTGAAATGCAAAACACAGCCAGCAGGCTGGAGGCCGCTCTACTTCTGGTGGAATTCCTGGCTGTCTTCTCATGCTGAACATTATTCACATGGCAACTGCTCTCTTGTTACAATGTTTTCTGGGCTTTTTTAACTCTGTTTTGAATTTCTGTTTTATCTATTCCCTAACTGAGGTAATAATAACTAAACATTTCTTGTAATGCAGTTCCATTTTATGTTAGTTAATTCCTTACATTTAATATGTATTGATGCATGAATACAGCTGATTCTTTGATTTTTTTTTATGTGCAGGTGTGGCGACTATTCTGTATGAATGCCGGTTGGGCTGCCTGGAAAACAACGTCCCACAGCAGACTGTTGAATATATTGAGGCTCTGGAATTGATGTTTAGTATGTTTAAGACCACTATGTATGCAGGTGCTATTCCCAAATGGCTTCGTCCACTTATTCCAAAACCCTGGAGAGAGTTCTGCAGATCCTGGGATGGACTCTTCAAATTTAGTAAGATTTAGTAGTAGAAAAGTTCAGCTGTATTTCTGCAGGTTCTGTGTGTGTTTGAACGGGACAAGCTGCATTTCTCTTCTAAAATTATAAGAAGACATTGTGGCAGAAGTAAGTTTCACATTAAATGYAGACTGGCCAGGGAACTGTTTTAAAAATATTCTGCTGAAAACCAATTTTACCAGTGTATTTCAAAATATTCCCTTTTTTATATTGCTCTTTCTTTATTTGTCTTCATCTGTTTCAGAACCCAGTTGTTACTCCAGGTCCAAGTTCTTTGCCAAGGTTTTATCTTAAGCCGCTTCAGTATCAATGAGGGTAGTTTTGTTGACTTCAGCAAAATTTTAATTAAGGACTCTAACAAATAATCACCACTAAAACTGACTAGAAAGTTAATTAATGAGGCTCTAGCAATTAATTAAACACTTTGTAAAGTTTATGTATATATACAAGTGTATAAGTTGACATCAAAGTACATTGATGTACTACAATATGGGRTTTTTTTGTAAATAAAACATTCCAGGCTGCTTTATGAATCAGCTTCCATGTAAGTTCATGTAAGCAGGAAGATGGTGTTATCTTTGCAAATTTTTTTTTTAATGTTCTGGAGTTTTAATAAAAACCCTGAACACTTTTTCTCTCTCTAATATTACAAAGTTGCATGCATTATCATTTTTTGTAAGCTCATTTTGTAAGCGATTAACTTTCTGAGGAGCTTTTTTTTTTCTTAAATCTCTTGTTTGATCAAAGATGCTGTTTACAGTCACTAAAGTATACATGAAACTGTGGGTGAAATTKCTCAGCATGTCATTCACTGAAGTTTTTCAAATTTGTTGTTACTTGAATGCTCCTCTTGTCTTCAGAGTAATTAAGTTCTGTGGCTTTGACCTTCTGGTTGATGCTAGCATTTTGTAGCAGCCTCTCAGTGGAGTTGAAGCATGCTCTGCAGAGTTCACCACTTCTTGCAGAGTCATCAGAAGATGACCCAGGTGGGCTTGTGGTAAAAACTTGACCTTGAGCTTCCCTCACTCCCTGTCAGGAACTGAAGTTTCTTGGGTCCTTCCTTTGTGCTCAGCATTCTCATGCTATGAGCTAGCAATGAGAAGCTTCCTGCTCAGTCTTTCCTTACCATGAGTACTCAAGGGCCTCCACCACCATTCTAGGATCATTTCCTTGAGAAAAGAGAACTTTTTTTCCTCGATGTGCAGTGTAGCATAAGTGAGAAATGTCATTACTGAATGGAACCAGCAGAAAAATAAAAATGGAGGCTTAAAATTTTTTTTAATCCCAAAGGTCAAATCCATGTTGACAACAAATTGAAGGCAATTCAGTCTCARCTGGACCAAGGAGAAGTAGTGAATGGTGGGCTTCTTACACACCTCCTAGTGAGTAAGGAACTTACTTTGGAAGAGATCTATGCCAACATGACTGAAATGCTTCTGGCAGGAGTGGACACAGTAAGCTCGTTATCATTTTTCTTGTGCATAGCTGTTTTTGTAAACCAGTATCATTGGCATCGGGGGGGTTTCATTGTTTATAAGGAGGTAATTTTAACACACTTAAGCCATGATGCTCTAAAGTGATACAAAATACTTCCTGTACTGTGTAATCTCTCCACTGGAATGAAGTCAGTGCTCTGTTCTAGCTGTGGTTTACAGGAACCCATCACTTGGGAGCCTGTTCCACAGTTTATTAAACAGCTAAAACAGCAATTGTCTTTACATTCAGCCTGTATTTGACACGTTTTCTTTTATTAGTTTGCTTATCAGKTTGGTGTTTGTGTTACTTTAGATATACCACAATGGAAAAGTTTRCTGAGATTTAGAGTGAAAAAAGTTGATTGATAAACTCATAGGTAGAATTTGGTAAAGGATTTTCACGTTTAGCTAATAAAATCAACTGGGTACCTGTTATGGAACAGATATCTGATTTCTGCTGGAATCCATTAGGAGGGGGATATTTGGCCTGCACTGATGTGGATAAGGCATAAGTTTACTGTACCCCTTCTTGTGCTGGCAACATAGAGCCAGGCTGAGGCAAAGAGCTGTGCTAAGGGCACAGGAGTAATGGGGTTGATGTATCCAATATGTTAACACCTAGGAAAGTGTTTTAAGTGTCTCTCATTTTTTATTCTTCAGATTTGCCCTATAGGCCATTTGAAGAAACATTAAGGTCATGTGTGTATCTTCCCTTCCTCTCGTTCCCATCACATGAAATCAGTGTAGCTCAGTATTTATTGCAACATGACAATCAGAAGAATAAGGAAAGATGAGCTGTTGTATATACAGTGCATACAGAGTTWTTTAGAATATCGATGAACACTGCTATTATAAATGATTGTAAATCAACAGTTGAACAATTTTTTTAAAGAAATCATATTAATTTGGTAAAGGAAGTGCTATGTAGGACTTCAGTAGTTTTACAGTAGGAAAGTTTAAAATAAGTAAAAAAGTAAAATGGTCTTAGAGAAAAGAAAAACTCTCTGGATAATTGAATTCAGATTTTTTTGGTTTAAGAAAGTTTGTAAGGTTTCTAAAGAAAACAAAAAAAMCCCAACAGTAATCACTTTTGAATTCCAAAATAAGGAGCACATGTAAAACTTCTTTATGTGCTGAATAATATTCCCTTGGTTAAATATCCCAAGGGCTTATAAGTTTGCAGAGCTTTTTGATGTCTGGTTCTTAAGTACAGCACAGTTATTCATCCCATTCATTTTCTAATCTTTCAGACCATTAATTTTCCATTTTTAGTGTGTGACAGTTTCCATTACAATAAAAAGACAATCTTCAAGTTCATGCCAGCAAGAATTTCGCTTTCCATTTGACTCAGCTTTCTTAGCTGGCAACAGTCTTTTTTTCTGAGAGGATGAGGCTTCTGATTTCCTCATTTTCACAACAAAACAGAAATTGAGGGAATCTTTTTTCCCCTACTGCTGTCAGTTCAGATCTCATTTTATGATAGAAATTGAAAGAGGTTTAGAGGATTATAAAAGCTTTCAACTGAATTGTAAGTTCTTGGCTACAAAGCATTTTGGCTGTTGCTAGAACAGTCCTAATTTTTAAGAGATTATGAAGGAACTGAAGCTGGGAAGGAATACTGTTTCAATCAGAGAAGTTCTGTATACAGCTGGCACAATTGCCACCTCTTCTGAGTGGAGTAGAACTGGGTTGCATTTTAGAAAGAAATTGCAAGAAAAAAAAGAAAAGCTTATGAGAATGATAAYTGTATCATTATAGCCCAGTTTGAAGACAAGACATAAAAGGTCACTGTCATGATGAATTTGCATTCTAAATTGATTTTAAACATAAGACCAATATAAGACATTTCTATAAGCTGGTTTTTTTTCCAGCTGTGGTGAAAAAAGATTAGATGATGGGTTTCTTTAAATCCTCTTGTGCTCAAAGTTGAACTGTATCCTGCCTTGTGTTCTATTTCTTCATCCTCACAAAATTTTTTAAAAGACAGTGGTGTAGCATTGCTCACCAAAGGATGATGAATAATCTCAGCAGTGACGATACCAATTGTGTTGTGTGGATGCTATGAGGGGACCACCATATGCTTAAAAGGGGTTTTAAATGTTCTGAGTAGTATTTTCTTATCTTGTTTCCTGTGAAGTGTTTTTGTTGGAAGGAAAGGTGAAATGCATATTGAAAACTAACAGCTTACTTAATCCATTGCTGTTTAGAGTGTTTATGTTTCAATATTGTTTACATAGTTGGGTTTGCATTTGGTTTGTCTGATGCTTTTTATATTTCCCTGGGAAAATATCAACATGGATTGTTTTAATATGTGGCGGACTTTTAGATGGAAAAGGGATGAAAGAGGGGATGGTGAAGTCTGGCAACATCCCATTGAATCCAGATGTGAATCATTGCCAGTCTGTTTCATAACTTTAAACATATAAAACACAGAGTTGAAAGCTGATTGTTTTTCTTGGCTTGAAATTATTTTTTATGTAATCATGTTAGGCTTGATGATGACTGTGGTTTTTTCCTTAGACTTCTTTTACTTTGTCCTGGGCAATATATTTGTTGGCAAAGCACCCAGAGGTGCAGCAACGTGTTTACGAGGAAATAGTCAATAAGCTGAGGAAAGATCAAGTTCCTGTTGCTCACGATGTCCCAAAATTGCCTTTGATTAGAGCTGTCCTGAAAGAAACCTTGAGGTAAACAGCAGACAACTAAAAAGTGTAATTCCATGTTGTTCTAATGGATTTTGAGTCCATGCTAGCATTTGTATTCAATTGTTGCTACTGCTATTTGCTCCTTCTGCTTTTATTTATTGTAGCAGTATTGTGTCCAAGGACATTTAAGCAATGCATAGGATAATGTTTAATGTTTCTARGTATGGTAAAAGTGATATCACGTAAGTAGAACATGTCTGTTAAGGTAARGAATTGAAAGCTTGATTTTCCCTTTAGTCTGAAATGTAAAAACCTCCTTCCCCACRTCAATATTTTGCAGTGCTACTACAATAATTTTAAGCTTCTTGATTTAAATTAAAGGCATGTGACATACTTTTTTTTTCATATGTTCATAGTAAATGTTCATCGTGACATGAGGGGAATTAGAGGATTTTAGAGAAGGTATCAATTAAGCTTTTTCAGCTTTAGGATTAGTGCTCAAATATTTCCAGCTTGACCACCTAACTTCGTGCTCGTACRTGTGTGAAGTGAATAAATGTATAGACCAAATAGCCCAGCTTTCAGTTACTAATAAATAACTTCTCTCAGGTGATGGTCATATTCTCACAGATGATTCAAGGCCTTTGAAGCTCCAAGGTGTTCTGTACTTTTGAAAAACTTTTTTGCTGTGAATGAATATGGCATTCATACTGAGTATTCGTGAGTGCAAATTGGAATCAAAATGGTTTTAAATTGTATTATTATTGTTGAACTTCAGATGAATCTTCCTCTCTAGGTTATATCCAGTATTGCCAGGAAATGGAAGAGTGACTCAAAAAGACTTGATCATTGGAGGATACTTGATACCTAAGGGGGTAAGTTATGCTGCAGTCCTCTGCAAAGAGCAGTTTAATTTTTGCGTATGAAATATTATTTGCTGCAACATATATACACTTCATTGATTTAAAAGATTCCACCATGCTAGACCATTAAGAGGAAAGTATTTCAGTAATACCCATTTATATGCCACAAATTGGAARTTATGATTGACTTGTTGCTGCTGTTTTGGTAATTTTTTATTTGACCCCTCACCTGCAAATGAAATATATCATCATTACACGTTCTTAATATTCTTGAGGGTGGAGTCTAATAATAATATCTCTGTGTAATGGCACAATTCAAYTAGAAAAGCATGAATTTCATTATTCTTGCAGTTTTCTAATTCTTTGCCTGTTAATCCTCTTTGTAGGAAGAGTTTCTCCCTTTTTCTCATAGCAACTTCATGAAACAATTCCCTCATGAGTTCTGTTCCCTTCTCCTTCCCCACTGTATCTTGTCTAATATATCCAGCAAGAYTGGAAACAATTTGAAGATTATTTCATTTTGCAGTTCTAAAAGGGATTTGATTTTTAAGGTATCCTTTKGTCAGAGATACTTAATTTTTATCACCTCTTATTGCAGAAACTTGAGTTATTGCAAATGGTTTTTCATTTTATGTGCATTGGCGTTATCTAAATATAAATATCATTTCTTTCTGCAGACCCAGCTGGCACTTTGTCATTATGCTACTTCATACAGTGAAGAAAATTTCTCAGTGGCGAATGAGTTCCGACCTGAGCGCTGGCTGAGGAAAGATAATTTGGACAGAGTAGACAACTTTGGCTCCATCCCCTTTGGTTATGGCATTCGAAGTTGTATAGGAAAAAGAATTGCTGAGCTGGAAATCCATCTTGCACTGATTCAGGTTAGAACTACGTGACAGCATTGCAAGAAGAAAAGTGAATCTGTACTATTTTTTCTCATGTATGCCATTTCTGGGTGTCTTACAGTGCTCAAAATCTTTGTTTTAGAGTGTTGTCTAATGTACTTCTCCTGCAAAGGCTGAAAAAAATTAAAATAATCGTGCTTGAAATGTAGCATAGTACTTAAACTACATTGCAGAAGGTATAGTATGCATGATATTAAACTAAAGGTAAGTTCATTAAGGAAATGTATAGATTTGGTACAGCAGACTTCTGTAAGCAAATCAGAAGTATTTTTTAATGTTAGATTGGTTACCTGCTCAGTTTCTGTGTCTAATTAGAAGAAATCAGAACTTACAAAGGTATTAAATGGATTTTATATCCTTGTACTGATCACAGTGTGATGACAAATAGTAGAAATTTTCTATGCTCTGTGGTTTCCTGTCTCTTCTTTTTCTTTCTTCTAAATCATTATCATTCTAGATATACATAATTGATAGTTAAATAAATAGTTTGTACRTACTGATATATATTGGTTTTGATTGATTTCATACCATAAAGGAAGTGCTTCCAACAGCTGCTAAATTTTGTGTCATTTACAAGACACCCTTTAGCTCAAATAATGAGATTGTTCAATCAAATCTCAAAGATTTGGTAACTATTTATAGTTTCTTAACTATAAAAATATTTAGATACATTTTATGTATTCAAAGCAAAGCTTGATTGAATTTGTCTTTGAAATTCCTTCGGTAAACTTCTAGAGCAATCTCTGAACAATTAGTGCCTCTCTTGTGGACCTGAGAGCGAGAGAGCTCCCMGGGGACTGGGTAAAACAAATATATTTCCATCTCTTTGGAAAGGAGGCTCAAGGAAGCAATGGAGAGCCTGCTTTTGTTTTCTGTAAAGAAACTAGAACAAAATAGCACACAACCTATTTACAAACATCGAGATAATATTTTAAGTGATTTAAAATTAGAGACACGTGGCACTCATCAAAGAGAAATTGTTTCAGAGCAGTCTAATTTCTTTCTTTGACTTGATCACTTACCTAATGTGGGGTATAACGTAAGTCATGTACTCTGACTTCAGGAAATATTTTCACACATCTTGTATGTTTTTCTCTCAATTAAATTAATAAAATTCGTTCCAGATGGAAGTGCTATAAAATGCATGCACAGCTGGTTGGAAAACGGAAATAGCTGGAGGCAGTAGCTATCAAATATTTACTGTTGAGCTGGGAAAGCATTTAATTAAAATTCTGTAAAAGTCTGTCCTGAATTTGATTTAGGCTGGTGTTGTCATTAACAGTGTAAGTGATGGATTAGAGAATACTTCTAGAGTTTAGATGGGATACCAAACTGCTGTGAATTAAAATCAGAATGTGAATATAGAATTATGAAAAAAGGAGAAATGTTCAGAAGCAACATAAAATTATTCACTAGGGACAATTGCAAGTTAGTGCCCTTGAGAAGAAATAAATGCATAAATACAAATTTATGAACAACTGGCTGGGTAATATTAGTACCATAGGAACAGACTGGAGGAATATAGTAAAAAAATGGTCAATTCTGACAAGTCAATGTGATTCTAGATTATATCAGCAGCATTAGCAAGCATTTTGTGTGTCAGAAAGAGGAGCTAAATTACACAGTCTTGCCAAACACTGGTGAATCCTCACTAAGCAATGATAAACAGCCAACCTGGTGCACTGTATTTTAAGGGCAATATAGCCAAATTCAAAGACATTTGGAAGACAGAGAGAATAACAAGGATTTTAAAAAGAGAAAAATTAGATAAAAATTTCATCAAACATCTGACACTGAAAAAGGTAGTYAATACTGCATTGTTCATCAGTCATACTAGCAGAAGAATAAGAGAAAATAATTTATAGGAAAAAGTGAGGTTATTATTAGGAAGAGTTGAGGATGTTGCAGTATTTCCCTCTTGAAAGTGTAAAAGTGGATAGTTGAGGTGTTCAGAAAAATGTGTCTGATGAGACTGGGACTCGTATTGCTTTTTTAATAATTTCACATATTGATTGATATTAAAGAAAGTGAAATCAAAGACGCTTATAGAAGAACCTCACAAGGTTTGAAAGAGACCTTAGTTTCTTTGATGGCTCAGACTGTTTAATCTTGGTAAGTGGAAGTTCTACAAAAAGGACTTGCTCAGTCCTCCCTCAATCAGAGGAAGAAGATTTTGGATTATAATCTTTACCTTGTAACACCTGTTTTTTTCCCTGAATGGGAATCATAGCAYTTGAACTCTGCAGAACTGGYAAGACAGATTTTATTTGTGACAGTCCGTTACGTTCTCTTTTTTTTTAAAAGGCTAATCTTCATCGGTAATTTTGCAGCTTTTCTAATAATTGTCCTTGTTTCTAATACTATGTTCACAGYTACTTCAGAATTTTGAAATCAAGATTTCTCCCAAAACTGAACCAGTTCATGCCAAAACTCATGGACTTTTGACTCCTGGTAACTCCATCAATGTGAGATTTTCTGACAGAAAGTGAGACTCAAATGTTTTGGAAGTACTTACACAATTTTCATGRAAACAGATTTGCATCTTGTGGAAATTTAAACATGCTTGTTTTCTGGTTTGTAGGTATTTGACAAGACCACGAAGTTTTATGTTCTGCCTTAGTTTGAGCAGTACATAAGAGCAATTACCTCTCTTATTACAGTTAATAACACATATGAAAATATATACCGAAAAAAWTCCTTCTTGCACTGGGAATCTCCTTTTATCTGGGAAAATTTCTAGTAATTACAACACATGCATTGAAAAAAAGCCAACCAAAAGTAAATTCAGACCCATCAATATCATTCAGTGGTTTTGTTATGTTGCTACTCAGTGAGTATGTTTGAGAGCAAGGGGATTACTATGTAATATGTGAAAATTAGCTGCATGTATAAATTTGTGTTTTCCTGTTTCTTGTCGTCCAGTGTTTTTTAAAGTTTTCCATGTAACATTGAAATTATGAGATCCTTTTTTTATTTGTAAAAACATTTACTRTGCATGTATTAAAAAATAATCCAGTAATATGAAAAGTAAGGATAGAAGAAATACAGCTGGCATSATGTTGTTTGGACTTGAAATACAGAACATATACAAATTAATCTAAACATAATCCCCATAAAATATTTCTATATAGTTTTCAAAAAATAAAAATCTTAAAAATGATAGCTTAAATGTCACAATGGAGTGTTAGAAGCCAGGCATTGTTCTCCTCACCAAAGCACAAGCCACTTTCACTGTTCTAGCTATTATGCCAAGCCCAAATGTAAATATTAAAATGAAGTAATTGTTACATCTTTATCATTYAATTAAAATACTACTTTTAACTTTATTCACAGTTTTCAACAGTGAGAACTGGAAACTTCACATTTAACATGCTGAACACATAGGCAAATACATAGTTCTTTAGGATGGAATTGTGACTACTGAAGTATTCAGAGAATTTTTGTTATTATCCAGTGCCTAATAGAGAGAATGGACACTTGGAAGTTTGGGGTTGGTTTTTTGGTTTGTTTTTTTTTTGTTTGTTTCGTTGTTTTTTTAAATATTATTTTTCATATGACAGCCAACAGAGAAGTCTCTCTTGCAGGATACTTTGGATAACTTTAGTATCACTGCATTAACCTTATGTTCTCATTTTTGAGACAAACTTGTACCTTGTGTCCATGTTAYGCCTTGAATGATGCTCAAACCTGCATATCCTAATATGATACACATGTAATTATGTATAGTTAACTGTTTACATTTCAGGCTCTGACTGTTGTTTGGGAGGTAGTTTACAAACTGACAATCATAAATATTTTAGTTATCTGCGAAGTTAGAAAAAGTTTTGCAACTTGGTTTTTCCAATGACAACATTTTTCTTTGCTTGTCTAGGCTTTGAAAGTCACAGATAGGTAATAAATTAAATTATACACTGTAGTTTTAATGGTGTACATAAAATTTCACGTATCTAGCTACTACAGGCACATTGTTGTAGTATTTTTGATTCCTTTTTGTGGTGCCCTTTCAAGGTTTTGACAAAAGAAAATATCTCCTATGTATGGATCTCATATATAAAATAATAACACTTAACAAAATCGATCTGATCTAGGAGAGGATACATAAGGACTTCTAAATGTTCTTGTATTGAGCATGTATGTSCATTGTAAGAAAACCAGGTATTCTGTTGGAATGTTTCCCTTAAATAAGCTTGCCTTTTGATTTTTCCAGGGCTTCCAATTGTTCTTACTTTTAATTTTTCTTTCCCATTGTTATTTTCAATTGTCTCAAGTCATAAATCAAATGAAGAGATTTGTATTTGCCAGAGCCAGCTGACATCCCAAAGGAGATGTTTCGCAAAGGCCTGCTTAAAAGTCTGCGGATTGATCCATAATTCTGCCTGGTTTTGTTGACTTGGAGACAAAGAGCCCCTGCCTGGAATCCAAATTTGGATGCCATATGGTGCTTTCCTTTTGCTTTGTCAAAGCATCATTACAAACACCAGTCACTGCTATGTTGCTGTACATTTGCTACTTGGTATCAGTCCCTAAGTAATACATCACTGTAGAAGATGGAAGAGACATTCTGAAATGCTTTTTACAGCATTTGAATCTTTTCATGAAAACAGACAGTATTTTGTTCTAATGGAGCATCTATCCGTGTAACTTGTCTTTTATACATAATAAAATATTTATACAAAATTTACAAGTCGTGGTTCTTATTTCGATTGCTATTTATAATGGCATTTTTCTTTCGCAGCCCAAAGTCTTTAACTTATACAGAACTGAAAGGTTCACTGCTCCCTGGGATGTTAATAGTTCAGCTAGAAAAGRTGGGGATTCATACAAGAATTTAAGGTGTGTAATGATCTTGCAGGAGGGATAACATTATATTAAGAGTACTGTCATTGTGGAGAAAAGGTGCTGGCAAAGTTATCCAAGAAATACCCTAGGACTGACTMATGTTAATGTTTTGCTTAATTGCTTAACGCATAGAAGAGTATTGATGATATAAAGAAAAAGGTATGAAGTGTAAACAATCAAAACAACCACRAAAACACAGCCCAGATTGTAGTAGAAATGGGCTAGAATTTAACAGCAAGATACATATATGTAGGAAATAAAAATAATTTGGGGACCTCATCACTTGAAAACGTAACATGTGGAGGAAAGCCCATGTAATCACAGGTGACTAGAAAGTGCAAGCATGTGGGAATCATGAGAAATACGGCCTACAATGTATGAGATACAATTTGATCTACCCCAATTTATATCACAGATATTTTTTCTTAAATGCTATGCACAGTGTGCTTAAGTGTTCAAGAAAAGTGGAGTTTGATTTGAACAGTTAAGGAAACACTAAGATTATCAGGTTAATCATTTCTATGAGTGGAGAAAGGGTTATGCTACAACGCTTTTCGCTCTGTCTCTCTGGGGTTTGCTGGCAGATAAAGCCCTGGCACATCTGGAACCTGTATACCATGGGCTTAGGAGAACTTGGTTTGTTGGACACAGAACTGCTGAGTTGATTTTGCTCTTTCCAGTTGGATTAGGTAACAGGYAGTGGAAACACAGATGTCTGCAAGAGAGTAAGTGTATCCTCAAAAATGTTCATGTAATTAGTCTAGACAAGTGAGTATTGTAAGAGGAYATAAGTCTTCTCTTCAAATACTTTCAGGTTAAGCTGTTTACTCCCTAACAYAAAGGACAATGCTTGTTCAAAACAAGTATCACCAGTAACAATGAATAAATAAACTGTTGTGGAAATTTTCAAGCTATCAGGAGAACAAGAGTTTAGAATACAGTTACTGTGAGGTATGGTGAAGCCTGGAAAAAAACATACATCCCCAACCAGCCATGAAATGATAAAGCATGGTAAAAGGAATAAAGTGCTTAACTAGAATTACTGCATTCAGTCAGTTTTTCTTTATTCTTGTAGGTCCTCAGGCATGGAAGGAATTTGTGAGGTCAGTGGTGAAACAGACACAACTCCAGCAACATCATGTGCCAGTGGTGAATGAAACTTAGGAGCTTGCCAGTGGTGAATGAAACTTAGGAGCTTCCTAAAAACCCCAGCAGTGATGTGGCTGTGAAGATGGAGAGTGGCATCCCTGGCAGCTGTGAACATGAGCGAAGTGGGCACTGGGGGTGTGTTTGGAGCCAGGAAYAGAAGAGCTGTGCTGGTACTTGGGACTGGAAAGGGAGGAGTGGGAAAGCCACACAGGGTGGAGGCTTGGGGGCTACACCAAATATCACATGGGGTGCAAGTTCAGGAACTGGAGAGGTGAGCAGTGGGCTGCATGTAGGATGGAGCAGCTGAGAGAAAAGGGATGAGGCAGGAGTARTTTGGGTACCTGAAGTGTGCTATTTGCACTGTATAAAAAAAAAAGACCACTACAGGTTTTGATTATTGAGGTTTTTCCTTCCTAAGCCTAATGTTTATAACTTTAAAAAATGCTATCATATAATTACTAGAGATTTACATCTTTGGTAATGCCAAACTACYCTGGCGCATGTCCCGAGAAAGACTGGGAAGGGCTGTAACAARTCACTGATTCTCAGTATTCAGAACAATGCTAGTTTGCCTGGCAGGCTCCCACGGTGGCAGATGCATCAGAGGGTTTTTCACCTCCTGAAGTGTCACAGAAGTGTCAATAGAGGATTTACAGGGGCAAGTGAAAAGCAGATGGGAGGATGATTTAAAATGCTACCAAGTGATAGTCCCAGCGCTGTACAGCTACTGAGCACAGATGTAAATARATATGCCAGTACAATCAACTGGGGAGGACAAATGGTCTTACACGTTGGACCCTTCTGATTTTTGTGAAGTGATCCCCTCTGTCGTGGACTATATAAATTGACGCAAGATAAACTGTGGTACCCTGGAATGTTTGGGAAGTGGTCCAAAGTTGCCAGGTATTTCTTATTCCTATATAGGTTTTCATCTAAACCTTACACATGCAGTAGTAAATAATTAAGCTCAATGGGAAGGTGTGAGTAGTAATTATTTTAGTAACTGATCATTAAAAGTATATTTTTTATATATATGTACAATAAAAAAGAAAAATATTTTACCCTCTGGGATTAATCCGCATGTTCACTTACCTTTTCCCCTTTCAAAGGGTACTTACAACAGAAAATATGTATATGTGTATGTGTGCTAACAATTTGCAAATATTTATTCATGTTCTTGCTGAGCAAAAAAAGACTAAAACATGTAGATGTCATAATTAAAAAATAATCTCAGCTGAGTTTTCCTTACGTTTCCAATAGAATTTTCTTCATGGAGCCATTGAAAATACTACTCTGTAGTTTTGGTACCACTAGGTGGTGCTGCCTTTATAGTATTCCTTAGTGAAAGTCTGTGATTATGTATCTACGGAAAAAAATATATATAGCTAAGAGCAATGTACTTACTGGGCTTCTTAAAGGTAGTTTGGTTATACTTGTTTGACAAGAACTCTTAGCGGCTGGACTATAAAAGCTCTCAATTCCTGTTCATCTTTTGCATATCCTTGCTCAAAATGGGAATTTGCATGTGGAAAAACGTACTGTATGTCCAAAGTTTTGCATGGGAAAAGTTTTGTTAGAGAAAATCCAGCCTTTGCAGTCTTGTATGGCTCCTGCTGAGATTTGTCTTTAACAGARTTTGTTAATCATTGAGCTTTGACACTCTACCTGTTATCATGCAAAATTCAAAATAAAGTCAGTTCTTACTCTGAAGAGATCACAGTCTAGGTAAGATAAGAGTAAAGGAGACAGGAAATATTTGAAGGAGATATTTGTATGTTTCAGACACTGTTGAAGTAAACATTGCCGTAAACAGGAGATCATCTGACACCTTTAAAGGGTATTGTACCAATCTCAGAAATGTTTGAAAGACAGTGTTTGCTGTCAAGTGTTTATCTAGCTGGGGAAACAATTACATTGAAGTGTAAACTCACTGAAACAGCCAACTTTACTYAGACAAAAGGAAGGCTGGAATCAGGGATTTTGGAAAGAAGCATCTAAGGGATAAAGGACTGCAAGAGAGTGTTTGCTACCTCAGTTWAGCATGGGATAAGAAACATTTAGACAAGTCTTTCTTATTTTCAGCAACTCAGCTTGTGAAGCTCTTTGTCTCTTTTTTCAGATAAGGGTGAACACTGGAGTCTGCTTGAAATTTCCCAAACACTATGGACATAGTCTCATCCCAGATGCAAAAAGAAGCATTAACTCTAGTTGATTAAAGAATCAAAAAGGTATGTGGGGAATCTTAACACATATCTGCAAGGACTTGGTTAAAAGTCTTCATTTAAGAAGATAYCACTGAAAGGGCAATCAATATTTCACTGTCACATTTACAGATGCTTCTTTTATGGTCACAAATTCATAAATAATGAATGCATAGTAATCACGATAACTCTATCAAACACCTCTTATTTTCAGATGAAGTTGTATGAAATAACATGCATTTCTTTTCACAAAGAATTAAGGCACCAAATTAATCCAAGAAATAATCATTCACTGCTTGCTAGTCAGCCTAGTTTTGCAACATAAATAGC